ATGTCTGGCCATGACACCGACACCACGGACCAAACTGATCAATAGCTGGAGGTAAACCTCTAGCTACCATTCCATGACCAAATACACACAAAGCTTTCAACAACGTGGGGGGGGGGGGCTTTGGGAGACGACGGCGTGATACCAGGACGCTCGTTCGTTCTTCATTTCGCGGGTGGACCCTCGGAGAACTCAAAACGCGGCAACAAAACCAGCGAACGTCGAGGCTTACCAAGCGGTGTATTTCCTGGAATGGACACATCGGCCGGGGTCACACATGAGGAAAGAACGCAGCACAGGCTTTTGTTTTCTCTTATCTCTCAACCTTTGCTCTGAGGAATGCCTTATTATTAATAGTTAAAAATTTGTCGCATGACGGGTCAGATTCAGACACCCATTCCGTCACCATCGAGTCGATTTTTGAATATTGTGTGATCCAAGTGGCATGGTGTTTAGTACGCGCTCACACCTTCTCCCTGGCGATGGTGACGGCATCACCCAGCTGGCCGGCCTTGCCGTTGACCTTGATGCGGTCGTGCAAGAACTTCTCGAACGAAGAGGGGTCGAGGACGCGGTCCTCCACCGGGATGAAGCAGTCGATCACAAACTTAACAGTCTGCTTCTTGGAAGACTTCTTAGACTTCGGCTACAAGCGGTAGAGAGAGGGGAGGTAGGCAAAAACGCAGACCCCATCGCAGAGGGGCGAAGACACAAGGAACGGGAGGGGGGGCGGGCGAAACGAGCCAGGTGCGTGGCAAAACGCATCCAACAACCATTCCATTGCAAAAAATCAGCTGGTTAGCTACAGGTCCTATCTTGGCTGCCGCCGAGGATTAGCCGTCTCGTTTGTGTGGCTCACGAATCACGGGAACGACAAGTCAATACATATCCCAACGCGGCCTTACGAGTGTGCCATAACCGCAGAGAAGGTGACTCTGCGACCGTCAGCAGGGTATGGACGTCCCGTGCGCACGTGTTTTCGTTTCCCCTCATCCTCTCTCCGCACGCCTTGGGTCTCAGCCATGACATGCCGACAACCAAGACGGGCAGGAGAGAGAGCGAGGGGCGGCAGACGAAGACATCGCGCGGCAGAGGAGATAACTCTGCACGACACACCGCAGAGAATGGGGCTCTGCCAAAGGAACAGCACACCGAGAGACACGCACACTCACCGCGGGCGGCATAGTTGCTAAGGGGGGTGGCGTAAACCTGGGTGCAACGGGAGCAGTGGATGGGCTGCAGCGGCTCGACACAGCTCCGCAGGCCCGCAGGCCGCATCACCGAGCATGCACACACATATGCCTACATATGGACGAATCGGCGGAGCCACCTGTAATTGCGCCGCCTCTCTCCACAGCCAGCCAGCCAGACACGACAGCAGCAGACACGGTCACCTTCTCTCAAGCAGCAGCAACCGCCTGCCCACGTTGGACCGTATCTGCTTCTCGCTACGCACGTACTGCAACCGAGCGTCGTGCAAGGTTCGTGACCAGGGACGCGTGGAGTGGCAAAGCTGGAGCTGTCCGCGAGCAAGCCCACACGGCAGTAAACGGAGATCTTACATCATCGACTTGGGTGGAGGTTAGCAGAGCGGACACACCCTCCACAGCAGCAGCAGCTATGCCGCGATCACAGCGAAACCAGAAGGTTTCCCTGACGAAAACTTCCAAGAAGGGCCGGGAGCTGAAGCAGGGTATCGTTAGCGAGGTGCGGAAATGCGTCGACGAGTACCCCAGCGTTTACGTGTTCTCGTTTGTGAACTTGAGGAGCAAGCTCTTGAAGGAGGTCAGGCTAGACTTCAGGGAGGACAGCCGATTCTTCATGGGCAAGAACAAGGTCATGATACTGGCGCTGGGGAAGTCGGAGCAGGACGAGTACCAGGACAACTTGAGACAAGTCAGCAAGCGGTTGAAAGGACAGGTGCGTTGAGAGACGGTGGTGTCACGGACGCGTGTCGGCTTGTTGTAGAACACGTGCCTGTTTTTCGCTTCAACAGCAGTTGCGTCGTCGAGTGTCCACTTCTCTTGCAATGTATCCACCTGCGTTTCTTGTTTCGGGACGGTGACTTCGTAAATCCCCAATAGCAAACAAGATGCCACCCTATGCACACACTCGTAAATCTCACCCTTTTATCTCTCCGCCGTCCTGTTTGCCACATCATGCGCACAGGTGGGGCTGCTCTTCACAAGAAGGCCAGCGGAGGAGGTCAAGACCTACTTCAAAGCCCTCGCGGTCGCTGACCACGCGCCGCCCGGGTTCGTTCACGACGAGACCATCCCGCTCCCAACGGGATCGCTAGGAGATTGGCCTGTGTCTATGATGGAGCAATTCCGAAAGCTTGGGGTGGTGGTGGAGGTGGAGGAGGGGGTGCTGGTGAACCGCAAGGCGATAAACATGTGCACCGCGGGAGAGCCCATCTCGCCCGAGGGGGCCAAGCTCTTGGTGAGTAGTTTTCAGGTCCTTGCACCGTTGTTGGGTAGTGAAAGGTAGTTGCTGTTGTTGTTATTGCTGTCTTCACATAAACAACCGTTGTTCCGTTCTCTCTGCACAGTATCTTCTTCTGTCCGAACTAGTCCAACACTTGACGGGGTCGATTCCCGTGGTCACAGGCTAACTTCTCTACCTCCGAATCCCGCGTCGATGAGACAACCCTCAACAACACTGTAATAAATACTCATGAGAGCCATCGTCCCAGGGGAGTCAGTCGTGAAATCAAAGACGTGATACTAGCACAACCTACGGGCTGCTCGCTAGCCCTAAAGCCACTATTATATAGCCCGTGTACCGATTTTAAACCACCTTTGTCACGTTGTTGTGTGCGACTTTGTCGTGGCATACTTTTGAAGGATGGCACTGCTGTTGTTGTGTGTGCTCAAGAAGGCTAGTCTACACTCTGCACCCTTTGATCACAGTTACACCACGATTACTTCAATCGACCGGACAGATAGGAGGGGAGAGGAAAACCGTAAAGTGGACCCACAACAGTCGTGCAAGGGAGTCGGGGGATCGTATACCAATAACCAAATGCTTGCACTACAGGCAGGGCAGGCGTTTTCCACGGGTTGATAATCCATGGAATTTGCCAGCTGGAACCACCAAGACGAAAGTACACTGCTGGCGGTTTCAGATCCAAAATCTGCCACAGCCAACCCGCGGGGCTCGTGTGCAAAACAAGCCGCAGGAAACACGATGGGTCTACCCTTTTCTTTCTCCTTCTCTTTCGCTTCTCTCTATCTGTTCTCTTCTTTTCTTTTTAATTTTTTCTTTCTTTTTCCAATCTAGGGTTACTTCGCATAGCGTGCAGAGGCGAGCGGAGTGGCCTAGACTGTCTGTCGTTGACTTTCATTGGCTTGCGGACACTTCGGGTCCATTTTATTTTAGTATCGTACGGTTGTGGGATCGCTGCTGTTGTGGGCATGACAGCAACCAACCTACCTTTGAAGTCAAGAGCAACATATGGCCTCGAAATATCACGAACACCGATGACTGGAAGGGAGCGAGTAGTCTTGAGCAGGCGTGAAGGTGCATGTGACACCTCCTCAACAAACGCCGCAGATTTTGCCTCGAAATCAATTCCGTTCGTCCGTGTGTGGGACATGGGTCTGAACTCACAGTGTCGTCCCTTCCCGTGCCTATGTTACGTGTCGTGTCGTGCTTGGCAGGCCTTGTACGACAAGAAGATCGCCACGTTTACGATGTCGCTCTTGTGCCGGTGGAGCGAGGGGGAGTTTGAGGCGTTGGCGGAGGGAACGGACGACGCTATGGTCACCGAGTAGTTTCTAACAATCGTAGCAAACGCACGGAGCTGTCGCTCCCCCTAGACATGAGGATATTTTTGCCTTGTGTTTGGCTCCGAACGTTTGTTGTGCATTTCGTTCTGTGTTGAGGATTTTTGTTTTTCATCCGTAGGGGAGGTTTTGGCATGCACAAGGTGTCGGCGGTTTTTGTGGAGGACTGGCTTTAGTTCCACAAACGCAAAGATGTTCAACAAAGATGGTAGTGTGGTGTTTTAGTTTTGTTCAAATGTATTACCTGCCCTTGGTGTGGTGCGCGAGATGTACTGTAGTGACTAGAGTGCGATCAGATGCACCGTAAAAGCGAACGCAACTTAAGGGGTGTACAGCAGTATCGTGTACACCTCTTTGACTGTTTTTTTGGCGGCATGCTAGAAGAATCGCTCAGCTGCTTGCTGCAGCTGAGTTGCTAGAGCATGCACACCTCAGCGTTTTTTTGGTCTGACCCTTCTTGGCCAAAAACAATGAAAATCAACGATGTCAAGGATCTCGTTTGTCGTGCGATCGATTTGCACGCGAAATGTAAATCACATGGCACCAAACATCATCAAACCCACAATGCCGTGACCCACGTCCACGCTGGTTTGGTGGTATTGCAGCCCAACATTACGCCGACACTGCAGTTAACAAGGCAGTATCAACGGTGGAGGTACAAAACCGCCAGCAATGTTTTGGCATTGGCATTCCACCGCAGTGCAGGTAGGTTACTCTCACCACATCGTCGAAAATCTGTTGACCCTTTGGGAACTCTGTAACTTTTAAACGGTTTCATATTTCGTAGTACAAAGCAAAACAGCGAAACTTCAGCCCACGTTCCGTCCACCGGTAGCGTACGAACGGGCACAAACAACAAGCCAAACACCACAACTATTTGGTTCAGTGAACACAGGCAGGTACATCATTGCTCAGAATGGTGCACTGGTCATGACGGCGCAGCAGTCATCGGAATCCCGTAGCACACTGGCGCATACCCAATGATAAACGGCATCTTGCACTCAGCCCTGGAGTGGGCTACTGCGTGCGCCAAAGTGCTTGCTGGCTTCCCTCTACCACCGTCGCTCGCCCCTCCCTTCCCCACAAACGCCTCCAGAAGCGCCACGCTGAAGCGGTCGATATCCTTGTCGGTGACATCCCACAGATTGGCGACGACAGCAGGGCTACCCCCCGCCAAGTAGCTCGTCGCCATCCCCATCGGCTCGAAGTCACCGTCGCCCTTCAACCGGCCGCTGCTGCACCCCATCAGCACGGCCACCGGGCACCTCGCCAACCCCGCCACCGTATCTCTCCCCACAAGCAACTCCCCCGCTCCGTGTCCGCAGTAAGCAAAGACATCCACTTCTTGGAGAGTCTTTGCCATGGTCTCCTCGGTCGGTGCCTCTCCCTCTACCCCCGACCACCCTAACCGTCGCCCAAGCCCCTGGAAAACCGGCCCCAGATGATGCCGGGTGTGCGCTAGGTTCGCCTCTGGGTCCAAGACGTAGTACCCTCTGTCCAGCCTAACCCCATCTCGTGACGGAATCCAAGCGTGCTCTAGATTGCTCGCTGGCGATGGTTTACTTGCTTTACCTCTGCTGCTACTGCCGCTGCCGCTGCCGCTGCTGCTGCTGCTGCTGCTTGGTTGTCTGGAGCTTGCCTCGCAGTTGTCATCCCCGTCCCACCTCGTCGCCAGCGCGGCGAAGACGAACGGAACCGCCGGGACACGGGTAACCGCATGACCGCGCAAGCACGGCAACCCCTCCCACGGGATAGCTTGGAGCTCCTCGTCCAACACCAGAACCACCGGGTGCCGCTCGGCCCCACCTCCGCCTCCCCCCCCGCCGCCCGTCCCTTTCCAGTCACCGTTACCGCCGACGTCACCGTTTGAGCCTGCCGTCGTTCGTCGGGCCGTTGCCGAGCTTCTCTTCGCGCTACCCTTGCCCTTCACGGCCGGAGAACCGACTCCGCTCGGCGTGGATGGCCTCAAGGCAACACTGCCAGCAAGGCAGCCATTCCCCGCTCCTTGATGCTCCTCCTCTTCTCTCAACGCATTCGCAAGTCTGGCGAGCAGGTCGGTCTTCAGCTTGAGCCCCGTGATCGGGATACCCCTAGCCGACAACTCCCGGCGCAAGTCGGCCACTTTCATCTTCGACATGGCGACCCCGTCGATCAAAGGACTACCGGCAGCCGGAGCAGGACTGCGGAAGGCGGTCTGCACTGCTGCCCCGCATTTGCCGCCACTAGAACGACGACCGTTTTCGATGTCAAGACTCAACCGTGGGTCTCCCGCGAAAGCACCAGAAGGAACGGGCGACGACGCACCGTTGTGGCTTATTACCTCCCGCGCCTCGGCCTTAAAAGCCTCCCGCACTCTCTCGTGAATCTCTCGAGAAATTTCCTCTGCCGCCGCGTCGTCCTTCTCAGCCCCCAGCAGGGCCAGCCGCACCACCGCAAGCCACCCTTCCTCGCCCATCACCTTCCCGCCCCGCACGCACACGCGAATCAGCTCCGACAAACCGCTCGGTAGCCCGCCGTCTACCCGCACGCCCCCAGCGGTCGCGCCCCCGCGGGGCCGCTTCCCTCCCTTCGCTCGCGATAATCCCTTCCCCCTCCCCCCGGCGCCGCGGGCTGCAAGCAGCCGACCCTCGGCAAACTCAGCGACACGCTCCAACTCCGACCCCAAGCCTTCCTCGACGACATCGCCAAGAAGAACGGCTGCGAGGCCGTGGGCCCCCAGCCAGCATTCCTCCAAATCGCGCAGCAAGTCGCCGACCATCTCATCCACGGAGACCCGCCGCTCCCACCACTTGGCCTTCTGCTGGTTCCCGTACTCCGCCGCCTCTTCGGCGCTGTGGCCCCGGAGGGAATCCCGATTCTCCTCCATGATCTCTCGCCAACGCTCCAGAAGCCGGGTGTCGTCGGGCGATAGGGGAACGGACGCCGTCAGCGGCGGCTTCCCTCGACCGAGGCGGGTGACCAGCAGGCGCTTGCACGCGCCTTCCCCCGGAGCCAGGCACAGACTAACGATCGGCCACTCGGCCCGGAGGTCGGAAGTGACCGCGTCCTCGAGTAAGCCTTCTCCGCAGACGACTTCGGAGCCTTCCGAGGGGACACGGGGGGGGGGGGGGGGGGTCATGGTGGACGAAGACGGAGGAACACGCACAATTTTGTCGGTTTGCGGCACAAGTGTATGGAACCACCGGCTAGTGTTGTCGTCGAGAAGCATCAAGCCCCGAATAAAGCAAAACAGCAGAATCGCAGGCAGAGAGCTGCAACATTCGAAAACAGTGGTTTGTCTCGAGCGCTGCTGCATTTTGGCTCGGCACGGCTAACACACAGCACGGCAATTAGGAAAATGAACAACGGATACACACAGCGTGACCATCCGCGCTCGAACGTTACCCAGCGACTACATCAAAAATTATTATATGTGTCAATATTCGAGCGATAACTCACACAAACCCATTGCATTGCTTTGTGTTCACTGCACGGACGGCACGAGAGACGCAACACGTCGTGCTCATCACTTCAGCAGACCTGTTCACCAAGTAAAATATTTCGTTTCTCCTTCGCCACCACCAAAATTTCACAGCAACACCCTAGATACCGCTACGTGTTGCACGATATTACGCACCACACAGAAGTAACGCCTCACTCACCCTCATGCCGGCGACACGCTTCCGCCACCGTCCCCCCGCGGCCCCCGCTGACAGCATCAAACAGTCTCAGCCCCGCAGAGTCTCCCGAAAACTTCGGCACAACTTCGCCCTTGCGGGGACGCCTCGAGGACGCGTGGGTGGCCTGATTGCACTGCGTCACCCCCACCGACAGGCTAGACAGAGCCGCTACTCTCCAGGTCCCGTCGATGTTGACGCTCTCCGGCCCTCCCTTGGCAGCGAGCTCGGTCAGCGTTACGGCCAGGGCCCGCCGCACTTTTCGGACAAGCTTGGGGGCACCAGTACCTCTAGCGAGCGCTTCCGCTCTCTCTAACGGGAGTTTCGCCCCCGCCCCGTCTCCGACGTCCAGGGACATCCGCCCTATCCGGTAGAGCGCCGTTGCGCGTACGAGAGCGGGGGCGCCTTCCAAACTTGAGCAGTCCTGGAGCAGAGCTTCCCCCGCGGTGGCGTTCCCAAGGAGGCAAGACACTCGGCCTTGCTGCAGACGGAGCGTGGACAATACCTCCACCGCTCGCCAGCCGAGACCGTTTGACTCGGCCGCTTTCACCAGTTGACCATGCTCCGCCGACACTCGCGCAAACGACAACGTGCCACTCCACAACAGCGCCGGGTCGCCGGCGGCTTGGAGCAGAGGGGCAACGATCGCCTGCCCTCGCTCGCAGGCCTCGAGGGCTCCCACAAAGCCCCCCTGCTTCCGCAAGAGCGACGCCTCCGCTGCGGCCAACTCCGCCGTGTTCACCGCCAGCTCGTGGCAGCGAGCGCATGCCGCCCTCGTGGGTGTCGCCGCCTCCGCCGTTGGACACGGCTTCCCCTTCTCGCCTGGTTTCTTTGCTCCCCTCTTGGACCCTTTTCCTTTCGTTGGCGGTGGTGGAGCGCCGCCCCCTGGGGCCGCGGCACCTGTGGGGTCTGGTGCTCGACAGGCTGCGCACCCGGAAGAAACAGCGCTCCCCTCCACCGACATCAACTGCCGCCGCTCTTGGCACAAGAGCTCCCGGCTAGCTCGAAGGAGGCGGTCGGCGCGAGCGAACTGGTGCTTCCCTGTGGCTACTTCGATCTCCTCGAGCAGGCAGTGCCGTAGGAATCGGGCGGCATGCAGCGACTCGCTCATCACACAGCCCTGCCGCAACGTGAGGCTGGCCTTGGAGGCCACCCCCCTCTCACGCCACAACCGTCCCATGCGCGCCAAGCCTTCAAGGTAGATCGGTATCCATCGCGAGCCCAGCGCGAACCCCGTTCTTTCCTGGTCGTGTCCGCCGCCTGCTGCCTCTTCTCCTAACGTGTCATCCGTGTCTCCGCTCTCTGTCCCGACGCCCTCCTCAGCCGCCGCGTGGTGACTCGCCGCATCGGCGAGCCCATCTGACCCTTCGTCGTGGATGCAGTCGCCCTTCTCCGCCGAGAGAGCAACGACCTGCTTGTCCGATGCTACGAGCGAGCCTCCAGCGGAAGCCCAAGCGCGGCACAGCCGCATCACTTGCCGTACTTCCCCCATTGCTTCCACCAGGCGACCGCTCCTCTGGTACACCCACGACAAGCCCAGGCCTGCCACGCACTCCAGGTACGCCACCGTCGCTGGGGCGACGACTCTCGAGTCGACATCGGACACAGCCCGCCTAGCCTCGAGCAGAACTCTCTCCCCTTCCTCCTCGCTACTGCTCCCCTCCGCCAGGCACATGCCGCGAAGAACATCCACGGCAACCCGTGCCGCCCCTACATGAGCGCGGGAGGGGCCCCCCTTTGCCTGTTCATCGCCCGCCGCCTTCGCTTCTCGTCTTGCGGACACCGCTAGTTCGCACACCTGCTCATTCGCTGCAGCACCGTACATGTGGCCAAGGTCAGGGAGACCCCCCGCTTGAAACACGGCACCAATTCCAGCCAAAGCTGCGGCGGAGGTAGCGACGCCCTGCGGCAAACTATCCACACCCCCGTTAAGGCTAACGCGGTCGGCCAGCTCAAGCTTCACTTCGGCCACCTTCACTCGTTGCAACGTGTCGCCATGCAGGGCGTAGTGGGCCTCCAACACGTCCAGGTAGTCCATGATGGTGCCAGCGCCGGCAGGTCCCAGGTTTGCCTGCGAGTTGTGTGAAGGAGTCCAGTCCGAGTCCCGTGCGGCTTGGCCGATCAACCTACAGCCCTCATGCATGGAGATATGCACGTCACCCTCTTGACCCGCCACAGAACGGAGAAGCATGGCTCGGATGCAAGCGAAGACACCCGCTGCGGCAGCCGCAACAGGGGAGCCGGAACCAGAGTCCTCCTCACCCCAGAGTTTGGATGCTGCTGCGGCACCGCTTGCAGAGTGTTCAAGGCCGGCCGGAAGGTCTGCGAGCACCCTCCCCGCCTCGTGGGCTGCTGCTCGACCATCGGCAACGTCGGCGAGATGCAGATCATGCTCAAACCTTGCAGCCAGCAAACGAGCTTGCGCCTCCCAAGAGCCTGCTCCGTCTCGCCCGTCATCCACCCCATCTTGGCAACTGCTGCAAATCCTCAGGACAGCCTCGGTCGCGCGACGATGGCCCTCAACACACGCCGCCAAGGCGCCTCTCTCCTCCTCCTCCTCCTCCACCTCCTCCTCCTCCTCGTCCTCCTCCCCGGCCGCCGATCCCGCTTCTTCGGAGATACACAAAGGTAGATGCGCGCGATACACACGGCACGCGGCAAGAAGAACCCACACGATCGCCACGCGAGAAAGACCTCGCTTTTCGAGAGCCGTTGGCAGGTCGAGAGCCGTTCTTACTCCTCCGGCAAGCCACTCCTCGCCGTCCGACAGGTATTCAGATAACATTCCGGCTGTATCTCTAGTCAGGCCCCCGTCCGAGGAATTGCCACAACGAAGCTTGCACCCCACAAACCTCTCAACCAAGGCAAGAGCACCTGCTGGAGAGTCTGGCTGGCCTCCGGAAGAGGATAAGCACCACACCCCAGGACAAAACGCCAGTGCTCTCGCCACCGCGGCGGCGGCCATGACGCCGGCCGCGGAATCCTGGAGCACCAGGCTGAGCTTCACCAGTCGCATGTCTAGCTGGGCGGATCGCAGGATCTCCGACACGTCGGGGCCCGAGGAACAACCCTCGTCCTCCGAAGACCCCATCTCTGATTCTGATGATCGGTCTGACTCTGCCTCTGTCCACCTCTCCAGCAGGCGACACCCTTGAACGAGAGCTTGCACGCCTGTGTCAACCTCGCCGTGGTCCACCAGCGTCGTTCCGAGCCCGAACCAGCCTGTGCCCACCCGCTTGATGGCTTGGGGCGGAAGAACGTCGACGAAGTTCTCCAGGGTCTGCTCAGCAGCCGCCAATGCGCGACGGGCGCCATCCTCGTCGCTCCCGGCCTGCGACTGCCCTCGCCCAGCCCGGACGCCTGTAGCTTGGCCAGGTCTAAGCGTTGTTGCCAGGGCGCCGAGATGGGCGTGTGCAATCCGGAGGTAGCTGTCGACAGCAAGCTGGGCGAGCGATTCGGTTCGAGGGATCCGTTCGAGCACGCGACCGAGGCTGCCTCTCCCTCGAACAAGCTCCAGCTTCAGGCTCAGGTCGGCGAGGACCCAGTGCCCTCGCGCACTCAGGGCAGACCACTGCGGTTCCCCGGGCTTCCCACCAGAGCTCTCCACCTCACCACCGCTGGCTTCTTCCACCCACAGAGCGGTTACACCGCAGGACTTCTTCGCCCGAGCCCACGTCTTCACGGCTGCGCCGACAAAGGCAGCGGCCTCTGCTCCCGCTCCCTCGCCATCCGGGTCCTCCGCGAGAGCTTCGAGAGCGGCAACCGCGTCCTCAAGGTAGTCCAGTCCACGCCAAGTGAGGGCATGGACCACCGACGACGGCTCCGATGGTTCTGCGGCTCTCTTTCCCCCGCGCCTTTTGGCCGATTGTTTGCCGACACGCGGCGTGGCGGCCGGACCACCACCACCACCAGCAGCAGCAGCAGCAGCAGGACTGTCGGGGGAATGGAGCGATGTGATCATGGTCGCCGTGTGCATTTTCAAGATGCTCGCGTACGCCGCGCACTCGGCCGCCCTGTGGCCTCCTTTCGGCTGCCTCTTCCAACATCGCTGGACGTACTCGAAGGTCAGCTGCAGCAGCCGCTGAGCCTCGGCGGCCTGTCCAGTCTTCTCGTGAAGCCCGGCCGAGTACTGTAGCCAGTCTACCCAAGTGGGATGCAACTTCCCTGAACTTTCTGCAACTCCAACCGGCCAGCCTTCGCCCTCCCGCTCAGACAGCCCGCTCAAGCAAAAGGTCGACAGCTCGGCTGCCTCGTCGGCACTTGACCGGTCGCCAGCGGCGCGTTCTTGCAGTGCCACCGCTCCGCGGAGGGCGTGAGCAACGAAAACGTCGGCGTTCCAAGAGCCTCCCTTCCTAAAAAATACCGCCAACGCCGTCTCCCGACCCAGCAAACATTCCCGCGAATTGGCCCCCAGACCGGGTTTCTCCAAAGCAGCACACCCGAGCCAAAGCTGCTTGAAGAGAAGGCCTCTGTACGAATCTGCGGTTGATCGAGTGCATCGGGTGCGGGCACAATGGGAAAAACGTTTGTTGGAGCCGAAAGTAGCGGATGAGAGGCATGCCTCCACGGGAAAAGAAAGTAACGCACAATCATTAGAATTGCAGACGCTATCCCTGGAGGTCAACCACTTAGAACGTATACTCTGCACGCAGCAGAGTGTAACACGTAGAAACAGCATGTCAAAGCCAAGCGATCAAGACAACACAAACCAAAAACACGCAACTACACACAGCAGTAGTTCCACTTGCAGTGAAATCCACCCACTGTAAAAGTTAGGATAGCAGCAGAGAAGACGTTTATTGACATTTCCGTATGTACTCTTACTCTTCGCACCAGCAGTGGCATCGTCCCCGAGCTCGCTGACCCTATCGATCCACCTCCCAGTGCTTCGACCGAGCTCCCCTGCCAGCAGCCTGAGCGTTCCTATCGAGGCGACTTCGAGGCAACACCGACACGCGTTCAAGCACGCGCCACTAACTAGCTTGGCCAACGCCATAGAACCGCTCGCTCCTGGCGACCTGAAAGAGCGGAGCCGTAAATCCTCGCCATCCGCCTTTGAGACAATAACAAGGCAGCAGTCTGCTTTGTCTTTCCCCCCGTCACCCCCCCCACGCATCGCAAAGTCGTCTCCTTTTCGCTGATCCAAGCACGTCTGGAGGCAAGCAGAAGCGCGGAGACCAAGCAAGAAATCGCCGAGCTCGACACTGCGCGAAGCCACCTTGTACCACAGCCTCTCCATGGTCAGATCAGCCGCCGAGATGAAGGGAGACAGCGGCAAAAGGGAGCGCGAAGCCTCGTACGCCAGGCGAAGTGGTTCTGCGGTTTTACCAGACCACCAGCAACAAACGTGGAACGAGTGGAGGGTGTCGGCTGAGCTCTACATTTCAACTAGCCTAAACTACGTAGTGTGAGCTTTATGCGGGACGCTTTTGTCTTGCTTCTCCGCACTTTGCGACTAAAAGAGCGTACGTGCCTCGAGATCGACTGAACGGTTTGTGCATTTAGCTGAACACGAACTAGGTTGGTGTGCTTAGCAAAGACAATAAACGATGGGTGAGGTTCTCGTGCTACGCCTCTTTCGAACGTTTTGCGAGCGATGCTGAAGTTGTGCCTTTCGGGTTCCCACCAAGACAGCAAGACCACAGCAGTCTGTTGCTCAGCAGCATGCAGTCAATCAAGCGAAATTCGGAGTGTTCCCGTTGCGTACAGGAAGACTCACTGCATCACAGATATTCCACTCACGATTCCAGCGTGAACCTAGTACATTGTGGCTGCACCGGCAGGTCCCGGTGACTACAGCAGTGGAAGCGAAGCATGGACATTTCAATACTTCAATATTTCAGTCCTCCGTTCCTACAGTCTGGACCGTGGGCCTTCCGGGTGGATCTCAAAGTGCTCAGTTCGAACCCTGTCTAGAACGGAGCTGTAGGACAGGTGCCCTGGCATGGTGGACTAAGTTTGGGCCTATAGTCTACTGCTGTAGACCGGTTCAGAGTCGTTTCAAGAGTCATGTGCGATCTTGCGGTGAGGTACATACATACCCTACAGCAGTTCTCTACCGCTGTCGGTTGTGGCAAATCTTCGAGCGAGCTGTAGACTACAGCAGTAGTTGCACAAAAATCGGGCAACGCTGCTGCAGCGGATAGCGCAATCTACACACACTTAGAACACACCATTCCTTGAGGCGCTCATGTATGAGTTCTACATGTTGTCCGGGCAAGGTGTGTCGTTCAAAATAGTGGTATGCATACAAGACGCGTGTAGACGTTTTATGTTTTCAGCCGGAGACATAAGGCGGTGTTCTCTCTCCGAACACCACAGGTGTTCTTGGTGAGCATGCCGACATGCCATTGAGCCACACTCTACACAGTTGACCTGCTGTTCCGGCACCACAAATAGACATATGGCGTCTAGATTGAGCAGCTAGTGTACAAGATGACATGATGCACAACAGTCACAGAACTCACCCAACCCCCCGGCAGTGTTCCGTAGTCCTGCCTGAGCGATTTTGAGAAGCCCTTTGCCCTCCTGCTTGGCCGCATCCCCGAGCGAATGAGGTTTCGACACTTGAAGCCGCACTCGCGCAAGGTGTGCCTCCAGTTGCTTGATTGCATGTTCACCTAAACACCGGCCAGACATGATCGACGACAGCAAGACCGTAGCTTGTTGCAGCAGTAGCACGCAGCAAGTGGACAGCACAGCAATCCTGTGTGCTCGAAGCAAGCGGGGTCGGTTCAAAAGTGGCGGTTGGGATTACTGCTGAAGCAGCGTGGCGAAACATCATACCTTCGTCTTTGTACTCCAGCTTCTTCGAAGCTTTCTCCTGGGGGACTCGGCCAACATCCAGGCTCAGACTGGCAAGCTGATCGACGAGGTCGTCCACGAGCATGGTGGTTGTGTGTCTACGCTATACGACGGCGGCAACACACCACGCGCGAGAAGAGAATTGCTGTAGGGGGCACCACAGTTGATATCCCTGCCAGAATAGGGGGTAAATTTTCCGTTCTACTGTACGTGGCCGCTTGTGTCGTTGGATCGTTGGATATCAAAATGCGGATCCTGCTGCATCCACGATCCGACGGCAGGCGTCTGATCTCCATATCATCATCCATATTAGCGCCTTGTCTCTTCAGCACCATGCAGGCGGATGGGCTAGTGAAACTTGTGAGCGGCAGATTCTTGGCGCTCACGTCCCACGTCGTTGCTACCGTCCTGCTCTTTTTCGGAAAGACGCCGTTGGTTCAGATTGATCTGGATACACCACAAACGATGGACCAATATGAGTACACCGACACCTGGTGAGTGTTTGCTGTGTAAATACGCAATGGCATGGCAATCCGCTGCGGGGCTCCAGCAAGCACCAACTCCTAACCGTTGTTCCAGTGGTATTGTGGGATTTGAGGGTGTTGTTGGGTGGTGTGGCGGTGTGAAAAATGACGTTACATTTGTGCAGTAAAAACTAAACACAATCTCATGGTGGCCGACTGTACGAATGCGACTGGTCGCCATTTGGTCGCCTTATATTCCCTTCACAAGCGCGTCGATATCTCGATTTCGCAGGATGACTACTCTGCTCGAGCTTGCACTGCTTTTGATGGCCTTGGAGTTTGTCGGGCTTTTTTCGGGGTACACAATTCACCAGAAAAACGCCAACGCCTTGTCAGCTCTGGCGCACCTAGGAGGGTTCCTGGCGACGCTGTCAATGATGCTCAACGGATGGACCGTTCGTGCGTACCCTTACATGTTTACACTTTTCAGGTACGAAAATCTGCAAATCTACATACCACTTGCTGCCCTTGTGAAGTGTATGCAAACGTGTCGAGGTTCAAAACAACCCCGCTGGCCTTTTCTGACATGTTTACTTGGTATACTTTGGGTATACCACTAACATATAATTTGAATAGTTCGCAACGAGTGCTGATGTGTGCGCAGCGTGTGCTCCGGCCTGCCGCGTATATTGTAGAATCGTCGCCGTCGATCGCCCTTGTAATATATAATTTGAATAGTTCGCAACGAGTGCTGATGTGTGCGCAGCGTGTGCTCCGGCCTGCCGCGTATATTGTAGATGAGTTCTCTCTCTACGATATTGTTTTTTTTGGACAAAGAAAACTCCAACCACGTTGTCATCGGTTCGCCCATCGACGTTCCAACACTCTCACGCCACCACCCACCCCACTTCTGAAAATACTCGTGGCAATAACGGCAGTGTGGTACCAGCCTGCTTTGACCTGCTGTGGTGGACGTTCCAGATGCTCGCACGAAAACTCTGGCCGCCATAGCGGTACGCATGGACATGGGCTGAGCAGGTCCTTGGAACGACTGATGGGTTGTGGCCAAACTACATGTATTACAGAAAACCAAAGTGTTACGTACAGCAGTAGTTTAGATAGACTGCAATTGTAAGTAGGAGAGCCTATTGTCCCTTCTTTTTTTTGTTCGCGGCAGCCTTTTTTACGCCACTCTTTGATTTCCCGCCCCCTTTCCCAGCTGTTTTCCCTCCCTTGGCAACCTCAATGGCCAACATCGTAGCCGTGCCATCTTTTGGTTGTCCTACAGGGACCCCATCTGCACCGATAGGGTCGTTACGAGGAGGCTGCAGATGCACTTGTTGTCCCGTGTCCAGCTCCCATTGGTTGATTACGCCACGAATTTCTTCCCTGACATTGAGTTGCACGGATGAACACGGATAAACGAAGGACCACGCATGACACGGGGGGGCGGGGGGTCATGGGCGAGTCTCATATTCAGCACTGGCCGATGATAAACGCCAAGCTCGAAGGTACCCGTTTGGTGATTGAGTGATGAACAAGGGTCGGGGTGTCAATCCCAGCAGACAACCCACGGAGTAGTTAGGAAGTCCGGGCTTAGAAGGAGGTTGCCTGCCAGTCCCGTGAAAGCCTTGATTGCTCTACTGGTTATGTAGTCGTAGTCAAGCCAACGCATACCTCTGTGGTCGTAGTCGAGCAAACGCAAATGTATGCACGGGGTGGGCAGGGCCGGCCCTCTGTACGTAGTGTATGTGTATCACCTCGCTTCAGAGGTGTGGGCCAAAGCGCCATCGACTTTACCACAGCAGGTAAAATTTGGATAAACTCCATCAAAGCTGGCAGGCAGGACATCAGCTTGCTGCCTCTCTTTGGCACCTACCTAGACCTGACCACTTTCCCGGCTGCATCTAGGTCATCCTGCGCCATATCCCAAGCGCTTTTGTTGTAGGAAGACTTGAGGTGTGGGTCCGCCCCGTGTTCCAAGAGCAGCTTCAAGGCTGCCTTGGACTCGTGAAAGACGGCGATTGCGGCAGGGTTCCACCCTTTCAAATCCCTGTATTCGGAGAGATAGATTTGGTTGTCAACTCAAGTCACCTGAGGCATGCAGGCTGCGTACACAATCCTTTCTAGTGCTGTGTTTCATGCCGAAAGAAGGGATCCTCGGCACAGGGTGAAAGAGTGGGCACAACTGGATCCCATACTTTCGAGGTGAAATGGTGTTGGTATATTTTGGACTTCAGGCTGCCTTACGTACCGGAACCATGCCCCCTTGAAGCAGGGCATGCCCCTCTCTGTCCTCCTGTTTATGCAGAAATAAAGAACCCTCTCACCTCGAGTTCGGGTTAGCCCTGAACACTCTGCATTGCCAGCTCAACGTCCCCGGAGTTCCTCCAAACGTGCTGCTGCTGTCGTCGCAGGTCTTCCAGTGCGTCAGGAGTAGCTCCACCACCCCCGACCGGTCGTGTTGCGCGGCCAGCGAGAGCAAAGTCATCCCTCGAGGGTCCCTCACTTCGCACGTGGCCCTAGGCCGCTGTCCGGTCATCTCAGCGTCATCCGCAAGCTCGGTCAGCTGCTCCTTGAGCCCGGGAACGTCGCCGGCGACAGCTTTGTCGATCAGCTCGTCCTGAATGATGGTGCGTGCGAGGTGATCTCGCTCTGCCGCTGTGGTCAGGCGCTCCTCCGCCCTCGCCCGCATCTGTTTCTTGCGCTCTTCACACAAGCGAGTGGTCACCTCAGGGTCCCACGCGTCCAGAATCCCTCGGATTTCGTCGGTTTTGGCCACGTCATAGGGGCCCTCGTGAGATACCTTCATGTCAGGACGTACAAGAAGCAAAACAATGGTGGTTGATGTGTTGGTGCCGGAGGTTCAGCATCGATTCCGGAAAGCAACGAGTCGGCTAGCACAGCCTGGGAAACTAGAATCGGGATCACTCGCGTGCTGCAGCGCAAATGAACATCGCAAGATGCCACGCTTCGACCATCGAAGTGGAACGGCTGCACTGTGTAGACGGATGACTGGCACCGTAGGCGGTTGTTTTAGAACCCCCTATTGTATGACATCCCGTACAGCGTTGGCACGGCTCACTTTGTCTCGAAAAGATGGATCTGCGCCCGCTTCAAGGAGAAGCTTCAGGGCCCCCGCGTGTCCATTGTAGCAAGATCGCCACAAGGCTGAACGCCCGCTGTCATTCAGCGCGTTGGGGTTTGCTCCTTCGGCCAAAAGCAACCGTATCAGGTCATCGTGGCCTTGCGCCGCCGCCTCGCTGATGCTGGTGTGCCCGCGCCCATCTGTCAAATTGGCAAAGTAGGAGCTGATACGGTTGCCATGTGTGGTCTAGTGTATCTGGCCCAGGGGTTGTCCGCATAATTGTCTAGTCGCGTTCGTAAGCGTGGATGTTTCATGTGAAAGAGGGAATCTACCGTCCTCGACAGACTTTGCTAGGGGATATTGTATCCTTGAGGGAATTTTCATAGGAATTTTCACTATTTAGTGTGACGACGCACTCCAACTGTCTCCATCGTTTACACTGTACCTGCGCTTTCGACGTGAAATCCTTTGTCCAGCCAATTCTTCACCTCGTCCAGTTCTCTTCCACGTCGACGAGAAGTGGGGTTGTTGCAAACGGAACGAAGAGAGATGGAGAGAAATCTGACGGGGGTCAGGCGCGGAGCACCAAGTTCACAGCATTGCTCCTTCACTGCCCAATGCTTGGGCGAACGCAAAAGGGTCACCCGTACTGCAGTACCAAGTGAGATGTAGTCGCCGGCTATGAAGAAGGGAATTACAAGCGACAGCATCATCACCCGCGTACTACGTTTCGCAACGTCGAAAGATTCGGGCGTCAGAGACATGTCGCTCACCCATCAAACGCCGCCTCTACCATCGCCTTGGATATTCGCTTGACCTCCGGTGCGCCGAAGAGACCTGCGAGCTCTTGGTCGACTTTAGCATCCTTGTCCCCGCCTTCGGCTTGCTGCTCGACGTCCCCCACACGTATGGTCGTCATCCATGCCAGAACTTCCTCTGGTAGAGCTTCCTCCTTGCCTGTGACCACGATGAAAGTGAAGTCGTCTCGGGGGAGAAAGAGATCGGGAGTGGGATCTCCCTTGTCCGGTCGCAAGAGTTTTCCCCACCTGCCGGGATGTTCATCGGGCATGGAAGTTCGGCATTGCTGGATATCGAATTCGGACAAGTGCTGCACGTTCTGTGGCAGAGTGAAAAAGAGGCAACCTCGAGAGAAGCCCGTGGTATCATGCTTCTTGGATGATAGGTACGAAGGAGAGTAGCCGATGGTGACTCGCTGCAATCTGTCGGCATACCATACGAAAGCATAGCTAAACTCTGTCAAATTACAGATAGATGAGCGGGGTATGGAGTGGCCCCTCGTGATGGAAACGAACTAGCAAGACGAGACTGTTGTATTGTTTGTGCTAGATCCTTTGCGTACAATGCTTTGAATTTCTTCATGTGCACTCTCTCTGGGGAGTGTACATGTAGTTAGCCTGAGGCCACGGAAGACATCCATCCGCGTCAGCTGGACCAGTACGAATGAGATCGGAACAACAAAGCATGCGGCTCCGGGTGTACCGAGACAGACTACGATATCCCAACAGAAAAACACCGCCGGCTCTTCTTACTCCCCGGTTCTCATCATTTCGACTACCTACACGAAAGCCACCCAAACTGTACACGTCGATGATAAATCGTACTTCAGAAGATGCTTGTGCATGCGACAAGGCTAGCTGTAAGCACGAATTACCAGCCTATATACTCTGTAGACTATTAGTCTACATATAGCTTACGTTTCTTCGAGGAACACCCGTCGGCGGTCCAGAACCCCTGCCGGAAAACGATCCTCATCGAAAAGGTCCTCGAAGTGCACTCCTGCCAGAGACTGGAACACCACACAGAAATTTCCACCATGCATCAAACACGCCACGAGTCGCGCTCGGAGGTTGTCCTTCTCCATGTCATCGCGGTTGTCTCCTAAAAGCAAAGCACCGCGTTGGTAGCGCAAGTATCGCGTCGCCTGTCCCTCTGGATCTATGATGACAGGCCATCTGTCCCTAACGTAAATCGATTCTTCTATGGCCCCAGGTAGACCTTTCAGCGTGCACTATTTTATAGAGACGGGCGGACAAAACAGAGACAGTAAGTGCCAGTGTGTTGCTGCTGCACGGACAAACTGTACAGGGACAAAGATGTCCGTATATCCTATGACGGGCACATTTTCAGCGCTCACGAGTAGAAGTTCCGGAAGGGTGCGAGAGAAAGCACGGTTCGGTCACATCGCACCCACGTGCGATAAAAACCAAGAACCAAGTGATTTAATTCGATTATCGCACGGGGTTCGGTGATATCGTGCGGGGGTGCGATATCACTGTTACCCAGCCGCGAGTGGCTCCGGGGAACTCGCTGCGCAAGAGGTACTTCGCGGTATCGTGAACGGTGCTGTGAGTATGGCGGCATCACGTACCAATTAGAGAAACAATGGAAAACATGAAAAACAAGGAGCCAGAAAATACTGTCATTTGGTCACGTTGTTATTCATTCATTGATGCAAGCATTTGACATCATCAACAGCTACGAAAGTCTGCTGACAAAAGATAACGAGTACTCGTGACGGACAAAATGCAGGGGGAAAAACAAAAGGATGCCGACGACAAAGGGGGAAGGCAAGTCGATCATGATCTGCAAAAGACTACAACTAAAGTAAGTAGTAGTCTATCGTTTTCTTTCAAACCTAACCGGCGCTACTGTTATTCTCGCTACTCATTGCTGGTGTGCACCTTCCAATGTGCATACATCCAACCTGCTCTCTACTTGGTACTGGTCCACACAGCAAGATCGCGATCTACACATCATCCCCAGCGATCGCACCCACGAGACTACGACTGCTGCTGTAGGGTTTGTTGTTTACTTACTCAGTGTCGCACGTAGAGGTGATACCGCACTCACTCCCCGTGCGATGAAAACCAAGAACCATATCATTTACAGTAAGTAGTTCGATATCGCACGGGACCGTGATATATCGCACGCACAGGTGATATCGCACCAAAATCATTTAAAAATCGATCGCACCCCCGTGCGTTCTCTCGCGTCCTAGCATCCTTACGGTATGTACATATTGCAGACTTTTTCCCCAGGGGGTATCCAACAAACAACCTGTTCATATCTTTCCGTTCACCGAATGTTTTAATGTGAAGACAACAACAATACATTCCGCGTAAGATCCGTGACTGACTAATAGTGTCTACGGAAGGCCGGGTTTGGGATCACCTCTATGGTAGGAAGGCGCTCTTGTTCATAGTGCGGTGTCGTTGTCAGCGTTCCTCCGCCTTGGACGCTTGCCGCACTTCCCATTAAGTGAGTCCAGACAGCTACAGCAGTAGCGTGTCGGATAACAGGTGAGATATACGTATGGATCACACGACGGCCGCCTTGATTTCCAGAACCTAGACTGTGCGTAAAAAGGTACAGCGGCGGTTACAGAACTTAGCTGCTGCTGCTTGCTGTTGTCACATGTTATTGTGTCGATCGAACAAAGCTCTCGGCAGGACGAAGCAGTGAACTCATCGCTCATGCCGATCCCGCATGGTTGTGAATCAGCAGGATCGAGTGCGTAGAAAAGCAGAACAAGAGAGAAGACACACAACACGCTGACGCAGCCGCAGCGCGACACAGCAGATCTGATCTCTCCCTTGGCTGCTTCGAGGGGACCCGCGGATAAGATTTCGGCGCGGACAAATCACCTGTTTTGCGTCTCTACCTCTCTCAGCTCTCTCCTGCTGGACAGGATATCTGCTGTGTGCCATCTGCCTCCACGATCACCGAAGCATCTCTTTGCACCACCTTCGTTCGGGGCCGATGAGGTCCGAGGCCATGGCTCCTACGCCCAGGACATCGTTCATGGACGACCACGACCACGACGATGCCGGACGAGAGGGACACGACTACTCGTCTCCCTCTTCCTCTGCCTTCAGCTGCGGCACCTCTGAAGGGTCACGCATATGGTGCAATCGCGCCGACACCATGGGCGTCATCATGGCCACCATGGCGCTGTGAGTAGCCTCTGCTGTGGACTTTGGCGTCAGTCGTGGGGTAGTATTTGGTGCGCCCTCGGCTTCAGAGGGGGAGATGGCGTCTCAAGTGGTTGGGGTAGTCAGCTAGGCAACGCGTTCTGCGACCAAGCAACGCTGCCTTGCTTTTTCTCGTATTTTTCTGGAGCAATTTGTCTTGAAGTTTGTATTACCCTACTGCTGCTGTACCTTTTGGTCCCTCTATTGCATGCATACAGCAGTTGTAGTAGTTTCTCGCCGCCTCTTTTGCGAGCGCCGCAAATCTTGCGTGTTTGTCAGGCCCTCTTACGGAACGCTGTTTGCTGCCTTACTTTGCTGCTGCTGCTGCTGCGTCGCGATGCAGCGCCGCGCTGGCGTACGGGGAGTTCGTGGTGTTGTGGGTGGTTTTCTTCACGGGCAATTTCGTCATAGCGAACGCTGTGATCTACACAATCCTAACCGTGATGGCCGTATGGTGCCACCTCAAGACGATGCTTTCGGAACCGGGCGTAGTCCCGAGGGCGGCCTTGCCTCTGAGGGAGGAGAGCGAGGAAGGGGCGGCGGCGGCGAACCACACGCTGTGCGGGCGATGCGAGTCGTACAAGCCCACCAGGTGGGAGCGTTGGGAGGTTGGGCCGCCATCCGCCGTACATGCGATGTCATGTATGTACCTCTGTACACATAATACGGAACACGGAACGAAAGTTTTGCCAAGAACCAAATTATACCTGCATGATTGGTGTCGATACCGCGTACCGTACATACAGTACTTGTGACAGGGAGTCTAGCCATCATCACCCATGGGCACGGCCATTTTCACCGACAGCCACACGTGCGAATTTCTATCGACCCCTTTCCGTACCCAACAATCTTGCGTAGTCAAAGGAAGAAGTGGTATCTGCGGACGCAAACCGTTCATTGCTGCTGTTGGCACGTTGGAACATTTGGCGCGCGAACAACTTTGGAGGCGGAAGAACCAGCGAATCAACCCATCGGCGTCATTCTCTCCTTCCAAAGAAAAAAAAGACACGCGGAAGCAGATTTTTTTTTTTTCCTTAATATGACACAACGAATCCATCTCTATCATAGAAAAGAGTCAGAGACAGATTAGCAATGAATTCATAGCGTCAGAAAAAGCTAAATACCTGTATGTCTACGATTTCCCAGACAGATTTTTGAACCAGCGGGCAAGTAGATCATACATAGATGGAAGGGACAACGAAGGATGAAGGATGAACCATCTGCCTAAGCCGTGTGCCAGCAGAGCTCTTCGGCAAAAAATAAATACGATGCAGTCGATGCGATAGTTCAACGGGTACGGATTTCGCGTGCTGTGCAAGGCGCCAATCACCAGTTGGCCTTTTAGTCTACAAGGTTTCACACAGTATGCTTGCTACATCTTCTATTGTATGTACATCGGAGATACCTGTGCACATCTCCTATCGCTGTATTTGCAATAGGTATCTCCGATGTACATCACAATAGTGCAGCCTAGACTCCGCAGATAAGAGATGAAGTCGTCGTTGTTGTTTTTTACAATGGTTACACATGGTCTGTCAAAGAGAACATCGATGCAAATGCACATCTACCTGTCGGAGGACGATTTTGATAAACGTTAATATTAGCCCTTTGGTTGGACATTGACAGCACATCCCGCTCCCTCCTGCATAATTTTTCGAGTGATGAACCAAGTGAGTCGTCAGTACTGGCTTATCATAGTTAGAGGCAGAGGTTACAGCACCTGTGGTGAGGCCCTACTGCTGTGGTATCCCCAATTCTCCATGTGCTCAAATGTGCACTCCTGTTCTGTTACAGCAATGGCCTCTTCCTGCCTGAGTTACACTGCCGCTGCTGTGTTGTACCCAAGAAAATGAGTGTTTCAGCAGCATTATATACGAGGTCACGCACAATGACTCCTGCGTGATGCCAAACATTGGCCATGGTTTTACCTTCTACAGTATCGTGTTCCAAGAATGCACGACATGGCACGCGCTTTAGTCTAGAGCTTCATTGGCGGCACTAATGGCCAGGGTGGCATGCTACACGATTCCCTGAGGTTGTGTTGCTTTCCTGCGTGCCAAGTTCGTCCACCATACTGCCGTACAATACGTCGTGCGGAAGCGTGGAAATGATGTGGCCGGAACGCCGTTGTCTGATTGGCTGACCCCCATTGCTGCACTGCAAAGACTAGAGACTAGAGTTGCGAAGTTCAACACGCCCAACAGCGATGTCGGTAGCAGTGCATGAGTCATTTCAACATGCGACGTACGTCGCCCTCGGCCTTTTGCGTTTCAGGCAGAATTCGTTCTTTGCATTCAACCCCAAGCTCCGACGCGATGTTTCGACATTTCGGAACCAGGTGTGGTGTTATGCAGCGGACCGGTCTAAAACAAGTTATATTATCTAACCCGATATATTAATTCATTGATTCTGTTTAAGTTATCACACTTTCCTTGCCCCCGTCGGCGATGTGTGGCTGGGCGGGTCCAAACCCTTCTTGTAGAACCATGTTTTGATGTCCCCGTAGCTATGATGCTCTGGCACCATCCTTTATCCTTTGTGCTGCGTTTGCCGCCTGCGAAAATGAGCACTACTGCTAAAGTACCCCCCTTATTTTCTCTTCTCCCCGACTACGCTTCACGGAGGCAAGCGTCTGAAGAACAGCCTAGTGAAGGTGTGACAGGGAGGGCTGGTATCATACTACATACATGCTTCACCTTTACCTTGAACGTGTGCGTTGTCCGAGACCAACAGCCCTCGCACGAGCACAATCCTTCCATTATAATGTACACATGGACGAAACAAGAGCTCCACCCAGGGTCATCCCTAATCCCATCTCGTCCTACCCGATCCCCTTTACTGGCCGTTTCTCTACTATTTACTACTGTTTTGCCACTTTTTTGGCTTTCGTATGCATACACTTTGCCGCAACCGCGATGTGACGTTCCTCTTACCCCTCGGCGCGCCCTGTTTTTCCTGTCTGGTGGCAATGGCAATGCAGAGCCCATCACTGCCGGCTCTGTGGCCGCTGCGTGGTGAGAATGGACCACCATTGCCCGTGGATGAACAACTGCGTGGGGATTGCAAACCAGAAGTACTTCATCCTGTTCCTCTTCTACGTGCTGGCAGTCACGGGGTACGCGATCGGCCTCGTGCTTTACCACTTCGTGGAGTGCGTGGCGGAGGAGTACTGCGACGACTACAGCACCCTCACGGCGAACCTGATCCGAGCGGTGCTGGTGATTGCCGCCGCGGCAATGGTCTTCACGCTCAGCATGCTGCTGAACCAGTTCCACGGAGTCATCACTGGTCTGGGCACGGTGGACAGGATGCAGCGCAGGAGAAAAGAGGGGAGAGTCAGGGGGGGACCCGAGGACTTCCGCCCCTTGCGTTGGGCCGACATTTTCGGAGACGGGAACAAGCTCATGTGGATTTTCCCCACGGACCCGCACTTCCGCAAGCCCCAGAGAGAACGGATCCTCGGCTTCCGGGAGCCTCCTGCTGCCCGAAGGCACGATTACGAGGACGTTTGAAGTGCCTTGTTCGTACTACTAATACTGTAGAAGCAAAGGGGCCGTCAAGAGGGGGCGGTGTTGCTGTTGGGGTGGGTTGTGAATGAATGAATCAGTAGACCTGCGAATCCTGCCCAGTGTGTCCGTTTTGTGTGTTCGTCTTGTGTGTGTGTGACAAGATTTCTTTTTTTAATTATGCGCGTGACTCCGCCCCGCCGGTTGACCAATGAAAAGACGTCAACCCTGATTGCGGGAGGTTAATTAGGGGCGCAGGAAATATACCATGGTGAATAGTTGTATCTGGTGTGGTGCTGTTTGGACGCGCCCGCCTGCCGTTTTGTTGTGTCATACTTCGAAGTACATGGCTGCTTTCTTCTTCGGGTCTTCTCTCTTCTTGCCCTCTTCTTCCGCTGTTCCAACGTGTGCATGCTTGCAGACAGATATCACCTCGCACGGCGGTGTCTGTGTTTGGTATTTTGGTTAACCTGTAGATATAGGTGAGCGTTCTTTTCTTTGCTTTGCCTTGCCGGTGTCGGAGGATGTTGTCTTACTTACCATATTAGCTTGGGGCAGGCAAGACTTTTGGTTGGTATCTTGGTCATTGTATTTCGTGTGGGAGAGATTGGTCGCCCTGATGCTGCCAACCAAACCAGCTGTTTTTTTATTCTTGTGTTTTTGCCATGTGGCATTTGGCTGTTGTGGGCCGCCGGCCTAGGGTACTGTTACCTTACAGAGTTCCGCGATTACACGAGTCCGTGCGGAATATGATACCTAGGCATAGTTTTGTGCGCTGTGTGTCGAAATCGCATCCATTCGTTGTCTGTTGTGTGATTGAGATAGTCAAGCGGAGATTTGTATCAAGGATTGTGTGTGGAACAAAACAAGCTTGCTAAATTAGATGTGGTCACTGCAATAGACTCTGACTACTACGCAGTGGTGTTCAAGCGATTGGGACCTGGGTAGGTAAAACAGTTCGGGATGGCATGCGAGAGCGGCACCCTAAAGCCACGGCTAGACGGTGGTGGACTTGTCGTTGGCGTCGGATGCTGTAGGGCACGAGGGGTTGCGGGAGGGGGGTCTTTGGGCCGACGACGCGCACACAAATATTTCCACGGTTTCGGTAGCGCGTGTAGTCTGTCTGTGCTGAAACCCTTTTGGTCTCGTTGTTGAGATTTTACAGATGGTGATTGTAACTGTATTGGAAGAAGTGAGCAGACCAAATTTGAAGCACCGCGTTGTTTAGGTGTGTGTTGTCGTCTGCCACAGGTCTAGTATAGGTCTTGTTGGCTGGCTGGCTGGTCCTGCTCTTTGCGTGATTCGATTCGCCCCAAGCATTTGTGATGAGCATCTCTTTTGCCCATTTTTGGTTGTTGTGCTTTCCCTGTTTTTTTCATGTCGGTGGCCATCACAACGTTCGTTGTTCTCGTTTAGTGGCACAGCCACGTGCTAAAAACAGAGGTTTACGGGGTTTTGCCCGGAGCGCCTGTGAGCTCTCTTTCTGGGCTTTGCGTCTCCACTCGAACTGTAGGAAATGATAAGCGAGGACTTTTTTGCCTGCCGGATCAAGCATAAGGCAACGGCGAAATTCACGCGCCGACAGACAGACAGACAGACAGACACACAGGATGCATCTCCTTCGGATGAGCCATCCATGAAGATTGTGAGTGGATAGGATTTATTACGCTGTCGGAACGATTGGTTGGTAGGTTGTTGGGGCGGCGGGAGCTGCATGCCAACACGGCAATCCCGGTGAAATCCTTTCAGAGGAGGTGGAAGAGATGGATGGTTACACGTGCCTTTCAAGGACACACCCGGCCCAAAGGCTTGGTGCTGTACTTGGTCCCCACTTTCATTCTCGAAAGGGCTCGCGCAGAGTGGAGATCTTCATCATATCTACCACTACTTGGTAGCTTTCGGCCGGAATACGCAGTTCGGGTTCCGCCCGACGATGCTGATCGAGAGTGCGTGCAAAGAGCTACGGTGACAACGCCCTTGTACGGTTGCCTTCACTTGAAGGAACCCACTTCATTCTGTGCTACGCGTGTTCTAAAACCCATACGGCATGCTCCGAAACGACGAACCGTCCATGGACCACAGACGTGCGCAACGCGCCTACTTACAACTCTCGAAAAACGGCAGAAGAAATGTATCACCTTCACACCCACCGCTTTCCAGCAGAAATTACCATGAACAGCTGGCGTTTTCCCAGTCTCTTTTAGTAGTGTGTTTTGCTTGTTTTTTGGTCTGCATTGCTCCATTCGGGCGACAACCCACTCAGCCAACCGACACCGTCATCGACAGTCTGAGCATAGCAAGGCACGCGTCTTTCGATGAGAGTCAGGTTGCCATGGGCAGCAGGGAGTCAACGAAAGTTTCTCTACCAATGAGGCGTTTATGCTCTTGAGTGCTTGAGTGCTCAAGGGCAATCAACGTCACCTCGATCAAAGTATGTAGTAGGCACGGTCGATCCATCAAGTCTCCTAGCACTGGACTTGTCAAGTTTTGCCAGAGAACTCACGTGGTGTGCATGGCCACATCGTACTGTATACGTGCAGGGTCACACCAACAGCGGGACGACCCGTGCAGGTGCAGTACAAGATACAAGAAGTGCACGCTGCCCTCCCCACACCTCGTCCCCCCGGTCAACACGACCACGCCTGGCTCTACTCCTGTAGCATCGACCAGCATGCCAGATCGTGAGTCAAAGTTGTACATGCACTTCTTGGCTGGGCTGAGTTTGCTTTCCTTCCTTGCCGTTTCCTTTCCTTGCGACCTACCTGCGTTTGCTCCTCTCGCTCTTGCTACGATATAATAGCCGTCGAAGTTGGCGGAATCCATCGGGTGCTGGAAAACCCCAGTTGGCGTGTTTACGGGCCCCCGTCGTCTTGTTGTGACTTTTCGTGCGGAACGGTGTGTGTCTATCTACAAGTATGTCGGCTATTAACAGTCTAGTCGACTTTGGCGTACTACGGCCGTGTTTCGCAGAGAACGCAAGGAACTCCGACGCCCGAGTCAATTCGTGAAAATAACCCATGCCTTGCGCGAATCCATATTCTGGTACAAGCCGACCAACTTTCTACGTCAGTGACAGTGAAACGGCCTCGCCGGTAACAAGTTCGAACAAAGGATCAGGTCGGAATAATGTCTTTCCGCAAGTCCGCCCGTGACGTCACAAAAAGATACTCCATGTTCGTACCAACAAGGAGTGCTAGCGTGCTAAATAGTGCTGAACTTTACTCCGGTTTTCGAAACACGCCCATGTACCCAGGGGCAGCTTCCCCTCTCTGCACCATGGTTGAGTGTCGTTTCAACACCACAATCTCGTAGCCACCAAGCCGTGCTAACCGCTCCAAGTAACCTCGGGAGTACGCGTACGTGCCGTCTGTCTTCAACGAGTAGCCCTCCTCGGGGTCATCTTCGTCGTGACCCTGGGTGCAATCCCGGACGCCGGGGTGCAGAGGCGACAGAACAGAAAATAACAAGACAATGAGCTACAATGGTCCGTGCTGACCAACACGTCAAAGCTGTAAGACTAGGCTTCCAAGACCTCCCTCCGAACGGGGTATTATCTACAACGGGGTATTCCTATCTCGAGCAGCGGGTAGTCTTTCTTTGAGGTTGTGTATATTTTTCGAAAACACAAAGTGATCGTGTAGGAGAACATGTCCCCTGCCGGGGGAGTCTACCCCACACACTGTCGTGGCGGAAATGGGCTCAATCCTACAATAACTATTGCGGGAAATGTTTGATAGAAGGAAGATTGAATAGTCCTCCAAACGTATTGGGGAAATGTGGCCCGAATGCAAAGGTTCCCTCCACACACTCTTACTTCCAATGATAGCTGCTCTGCACTTTTGCACGAAGACCGAGTTTGAGCCAAAGATAGTGTAATAGTGCACAAGGTGACATGGCACTAGCCGGAAACAATGAGTATTTAGTGCACCTTCCCCTGCATAAACCACGGTGTGTACACAAGGAACCCACCGCCTGCAGTGTTTCGCCAATCTTAAATCTCCCCTCAGGCAAGTACCAGCGAACGAGCCAGGTGCGGTTGTCACGAACCCACGAAGCCCTCAGACTACTGCTGTGCCACATCTCCCCCCCTTAACCGACCCACCTGCTCGTCTCTTCCCTCTTGTTCCTCCCCCTCGTTCGTTCTTCGTCTATCCACGGTGAACGAAAAGTACCCTCCTGGCTTCAAGACCTTGGAGGCGTCGGCCACCACAGTTTCCAGTGGCCCCAGGTACTGCAGCGTCTCAGCTGCCACAACGAGGTCGAACTGCTGCTCCTCTGACGCGGCGAGATACGCCCTCACGTCCTGAGGAATAAGCGACGAAGTATGGTGGAAAGAAGGGGGAGTTTGATCGGAGTCATGCTGGGACAAGGGTCATGCATTCTACTGGTTGATTTGCCAATCGAAATCTCAAATATGGACAGGTTTGCACACACAATGAAGGCCTTTACTTTCTATTGGAACCTTGCAGGCCAATCAGAAACAAGACCTGTACTTCTGCGGTCGGAGGAGTGTGATGGTAGATACGCGCCATCCTCGGAGGACAACACATATGCATATGACAACACAGTGCATCGAGTCTCGTACGTTATAAGATGTGAAGCCCTCCCTCGACCTTCAACCCAAGGTACACAAACAGCTCTTCGTTCGCGTCGCAGCAGATACATACACTTCTCTCGGAGTACACAGAACGGCAACTTCGCAACTTCCCTGTCGCCCTTCACAAAAAAGAGGGTAAGTATTCTATTTTCTACGAAGTATAACTGGTACGATTATATAAATAAAATAGTGCGTTTCAGTTACACCATGGCGTGGGACAAGTGTCGAGCATATTAACTGAGAAGACGAAGGTGAACCACCTCCCGGCAAACGCGCTTGAGAAGAGAAGAGATGGAAGAATCAGACGAAATGTAGCAACACACTGGATACACCCCTTTAGCCATCAGAAACGGAACATACCTGGGGAATCACCAACACCAGTCACAAAATCCCAATCACCAGGGATGAGGGAACGTGTCCCCAGAGGTTTGCAACTCCATTCTCCTCACCCCTCTTCTCAGCTCGTGGTAGCACCCCTTCTTGGTGGCCATGTCCAGCATAGTCGGCGAAATGTCCACCCCGACCAGCTTCCTGGCGTAGTCCTTGAACCAGCTGCCGATGAGGCCCGTGCCACAGCCGAGGTCGAGGATGTCGAGAGATCCGTTGAGGTACGATAGCACATCACCGTTGTGAGCGGACTGGATCTCATCGGGGAAAGACTGGAAGGTGGCGTTGTACACCTCTTTCATGTTCTGAGGAGCCAAGAGCAATAGCGCAAGAGGGCCGGAAGGGAAGGGGGCAGCGAAATTTGCATGGCGACGTCAGGCTGGAGAAATGAGAGAATAAACATGTACTTGTATTGAGAGAAAAAACAATGCTGGGTCCTGTTGGGGGTGGAAAGAGGAGTACCTATAACGGATCCAATACGTAAAGGAGGAGATGTGGATCCCAGGATATAGGCAGAGAAAAAAGGTTTTCTCACAGATGTAGGCATGTACAGGTATGTACAGTTGATCTTGGCGGGTCCCAGATACAGCCGAAGACGCGAGACGTGAGTAAGGCCCGGGACAACAGAAACTCAATGAAGGGATTCAAGTGATTCACATGTCTCATCCCACAACTCCCGCCTTTTACGACGTGAGATACAAGATGCATTGTCCCTGTTCTGACGTTCTGACGCGTCGCACAAAAAAAAACACCATGATAACGCCAAGCACTTTTTACAAATACAACGACAGGCTCCACGGCGACGTTTTCACTATGCAAAACTCGACCACCCATCCAGTCGGGAGACATAAGGGGCTCCGTAGAATCAACGCGGTGCCACACGACTACAGAAGGACCGAAAGTGTTGGTTGTAAAGCTCAAGTTCCACGTCAATTCGAGCACGGCAATATTCCGACTTGAGTTGCGGGACGTAGACGACACAAAAGATTCCCTTACACCCTTGAGCGATCCCGACAAGCATTCACCATTTCACCTTCCGGAGAAGTCTAGGGCCGGTGTACAGGAGCTTCTTCCGCATGTGGTCGTCGTACTTGGGGGCGTAGTAGTCGAACAACTCTCTCGCGTACGCCAGCTGCAACCAGCGTTAATCGTTACGGATCGATCGATCGATCGGGGTAGCGTGATGTGAGGGTGTTGTGTTGGGTGCAAAGGCCTCTGACACGACCAGCACGACGCGAAATCATTCCACACGCACGCCCTTCTCGTACCGCCCCCCCCCCCCTCCTGGTCCGGTGAGAACCCGGCGTGCTCCCTCCCGGCTTTGTAGGGATGCGAGGTCAATGGTCTAATGACTACGGCATGCACGACTATGAATACACCCCCCCCCCCCCCCCCCTCACGCCCTTCTCGTACCCCCTCCCTACGTCCTTCCGGTAGTACCCCCCGTCAATCTGCGGCAGGTATTCACCACGGCTCGCATTTTTCATCTACAGCGCGGCGGTCTCGCGTCTCTTAACTCAAGAGCTTTGACCCGGGGTGCTACATGCATACAGGAGCTTTCCTCTGCATTCTGCGATGCATGCTCTCGTTGTCCCCTTCCGCCGAAATATAATCGGTCACGATCGCCGAAACATAATCGGTCACGATCGCGCTATACTGCTCGGTGAGAAATACGAAAAAAAACACACGCCGGGACTCGAGCTCTCCATCAAACCACTCGTCGGTTTCGAGGCTACCAATTATTACAGACAGACACCAGCAGAGCGCCTACGTAGTGGTATGAAGCGTTTTCGTTGCCAACAGCGGCTACGACTGTTGCTATTGCTACTGCTACTGCTACTGCTACTGCTACTGCTGCCATACCTGATCGCTTTCGGTCAGACGCCCTGGGTCCGCTTCGAGAGAAGCAAGCAAATACCTGGCAGATACTCCAGCGTTTGGATCGGGATCCAGCCTGAGTTTCTCCTTCAGGCTGTATCGCGGTTGAGGAGAGGACGGATAGGTGGTAAGGGCGTGACTCCGCAGGTGATGTACTTCTATGTTGCAAGAACTGCCATGCGTTCGCAGTTGTGATCGAGGAGTCGACGGTAGCATGGGCGATTGTTCATCAAAGCAGAATGTGGAGTTGACAGTGACAGTGACAGTGACAGGACAACGGGTGCAACGAAAAGACGCAAACCCCAACGTGGCTGCCACACGCAGGGTTGCAGCAACGGTCCCACAAAATACAAGCAACGAGACCAGCAGGTGCTGCCGTTCCAACATCTCGGTGGCATAGCACAGCACCAACTCATGGGTGCATCCCAGCGCCGGGGTAAGAGTTTTTCAAGGCGGACCTCTCAGCCTCCAACAACTACTACGTTATTGTTGCACCAAATACAACGCCATTTACCATGTTGCTGCCTCCTCTTCTTCCCCCAGCTTGAGGTAAGCGTTAGCAAGGTTGAACCAGACGTTGGACAAGGACTTGTCCACGGCAAGAGCCCTCCGATACGTCTCCACCGCAGAACCCGGGTCGAGCCTCATCACCTGTGATGATCGATTTTTAACAGAGGCCCATATTGCCAAGTGTCGAAAGGGTAGCGGTGACGGGAGGGGGTGCGGTCGACCCTACTGGCACAGCGTGTGATGAAGCCAACACCAAGATTTGTCAAAACGTGAGATACCAGGCATTGGACGAAACACGTCTAATTTAGTGAGGTAGTCGAGCGTGTTGTATCCGACAAATGGCCTGTGTTGGCAGAGCAGTCGTACCAAAGCTGCTGCTGTATTGAGTGTGGAACACGTGACACGAGGTCGGCAGCACCAAGTACGTTTTTCTATGACACACCTGCAAGTTTCCAAGTCTCGTGAGAACGTCCGTGTCCTCGCTGCCGGAGTGCTGCAGGTAGTACTGAAAGCACCGGATGGCATGGTCCCCGGCCTCTTCGTACTTACCCACGGCCTGGGCGGCACAGTGCGACACCGCGGGGCACAGCACACGGTCAAATGAAAAAAAAATCAGAGAAGCGGCAAGACATCCACACTCGACAGCACACCCGGTTCTGCACGGAACACTGGCTGCTTCCAGGTTTCGACACTAAAAGAGTGCGCACAATCCAGATAGCGCACAACGTTCTAAGCACTACGCGTGTCAAAGTACCGCGTCGGTTCTTGGGCGACGGGTCAAAGCCTCACGAGCTTTATCACATCATGTACAACAAAGCAACCTCGCGCCTTTCCAGCTCTAGAACCGGAATCTCCGACACACGTCTCCCGAAAAATAGGGCAAACGACACCCCAAGCCTCGCCCCGCCTCTCACCAGGTCTTCGTACAACATCCCGAGTTTAAGGTACGCCAGGAGGTCCCAGGGGGCAAGGTTAATCGCTTGCTGGTAGCTAGCGAAGGCCATCTGGTGCTGCCCCTGGCTCTGATAAGCCCCCCCCAAACCACGGAAGACTTCGCTGCGAGTTGGGTCAAGCTGCAGGAAGCAGAGGGAAGAGAGCACGGGCTGCCAGGTTACGAGAGAATACACGCTACGTGCTCAAGCTCTTCTCTCCGCTAGACGAGTAATTGTGCTTCACCAAGCACCACCACAGCAGTACGGGGTTCGGGATGGACGCCTGCTACATACGTTCAAGACATGCTTGCGAGGCAACGGGTTCAGGCGATAGGTATGCGACCATTGTCGATCTCGGAAGATAAATAACGGGACAGATGGCTCGGGTTCCACTGAAGTTCTTACTCAACATGGTAGACACACGTACATGTGTGTGTTTATTGTCGTCCAATCTATTCTGGCGCCAGTCTACATGTGTCTACCCCACGGTGCTCGTGCTTGCATGCTCCAAAAAACAACAACTCACCGGCCAGCACACCTTCACTACCGCGAACCAAGGAAACCGAAAGTACTCTAGCACCGACTGAGCAGACTAAGCCTAGCTCCTGCAACTGAACAACCAAGCGACATTCAAATTTACGATGAGGTACGATAAGATGGGGTGCCTTCACGTGCCTCGAGCGCCTTCAGGTAGGCATCCACAGCCCCCTGCAGGTTTCCCGCGTCGTGCAGCAGGCGTGCCATGAGGTTCATCACGACGGCGCCAACGGTGCCCTGGTCATCCCCTCCCGTTAACGACGCCTGTATCGCCCCTAAAGCTGCCACGCGATCTCCCGCAAGCAGTACGCGTCCCTCCGACGCCGCCTCGACGGAGCGGATGAACCCGTGCCGGGAGTAATAGTCTACGGATTGCGGGGAATCGTCAATCTCCACGCGCAACTGGGGACACACGCGGGGTACGTTGGCGCAATACACCAGTGTTTGTTAACGGTAAGGGCGGCACAAATACGGAGGCATCGAGGCCGGGCGCTTAGTGCCGAAGAAATGACCTCAGGATTGGTGCGTGCACGCGGGGTAGCAGCAGCACCGCCACCACAGGACGAGACGTTCTAGAGTCGAGGCGCCTTTGTGTCCATCGAACGGGAGTAGGCATCGGTTGTAGTCCGGCCAGCGCCGTTACTGCTGCTGCACGTGCAACGTAGTCATCGATTGCCAAGGACAAAACGATGTTTCATCGTCATCTTTTGGCACGGGTAACATGCAATTGCTCACGCAAGTTTGCTGCCGCTTGAATGCATGCGGATGCAGGAAGCTGATTCCCTGTGTTCCTGTGTTGCACAAACGAAGCCCTCTATCGATGTAAGGATTGACTATGTACTTGTAGACGTCGCCGATAACAAGACATGTTGCTCAATGCAAATGGGAAATTACCGAGACACACCGGACGCGCCCAAGGTACGGGAAGGACACACAACCTAGTCATTCACTGGAAAATTCCGAGAGGCGTGCATTGCACAGGAGCAAAGACGAACCGGCTGCGTGCGGTTGGTACATGCACGGGGCGATAACGGAACATCGCTGTGTCTACATGATCATGATCCACACGCCATCTACAGCAGTAGTACTCTACATAGACCTCTGGAAGGCTTCTCTTCTACTGCACCAACCTGGCTGATTCTCGCTCCATCGTTGAGGAAACGGTTGATCGTTTCATCCAGCAGCGCATGCTCCACGGCCTCCGCCACGCCGTCCTCACGCCGATGCCTCAACAAGCACACCTGCGTCGCCACCGAAGAGCCTCCCCCCATCGCCTCCACCACCGCTCCCGCCAGAGGAGCACCGATAACCGGCTCTCCGGCCGCCTGCTCAGTCGCGCCCAGCGCCACTAGAGCGACAGCCAGGCCCTTCTGGGCTACCCAGTCGCCCATCCCTAGCTTGTGGAAGTCTTGGGTGGTCGGGGGTCGGAAGGCGAGGGCTGTGCCGTCAAGTGCCACCGCCCTGCGAGTCGTGTCCTTCGGGATCGGAGGAGGTTGCGCGGCACCTTCTTGTCGGCCTTCGGGAGCACCACCCTCCTGGTCGTCAGTCATGCCGGGGTATTCCAGGATTTGTTGCCCGGTAGCGTCGTCAGCGGGAGTCGCGCGAAGGGTGCTGGCGGTGGATGGCGGCCTGCTGGTTGTCGGCAGCAGCCTGCCGCCGCTGGCTGCGTGTTGCTGCTGCGTGTTTGAAGATGGAGAGGGATCATGTTGTCGACGGGGAGTAGACGGAACCCTTAGACCCGAAAAAAGGAAAGCTTCGCCCGACCTTGCGGCACCGGCAAGAAGGAGGAGGGCCACATCTACTCCGGCAAGAGAACAGCAGCGCATCAGGGCAACCGCAACAGCTTCGCTTGCTACAAGCTTGCTTGGGATCTTGCTTGTTGTTACATTTGGCAACCAGGAGGGGCCCTGCTGCTCAGGAAATGAGACGCGAGCGATACCAACCCCACATGTACCGGTACGATCGGTCGGGCCCCGAGTCCCTGCTGCGCTTGTGCTGCGCCACTGCACTGGACTCCTCTCGCGGCCTCTCTCCCGCCGACCTGACCAGAGAGATAAGGATGGCGCCCAATCGAAGGCTGGGCGTTGCGCTTGCTTGTGCGTGCAGTGCTGGCGTGGCGCTTGGGTTCGTTCCGAACGTGGGAAATGCTGCTGTGCGATCGAGACGGGGGGGCGTTGAAGGTGGTTGCACCTCGATCATCGGCATCGGCGGCGCTAGCCAGTACGGCTCCTTCGCCGGAGCACCTGTCCTCCAAGGTAGACCTGCGGCTGGTCAGAGGAGAGTCGGACGGCGAGGACGGCACGGTAGAAGGAGGTACAGTATGTCGGGTTCAACCCGCGGGTGGATGATAAGAGGCACAGAGGTATCATGTTCATGTGCTGTGAGCTGTGGAGGTCAACGGGGTAACACCGCCGTCCGTTGCATGCCATCCCTACAGCAGTAGACTATGCCGCTTCTTCCTACCCTCACCGGTGGCATGTTGTTGCACGTGGCACGTGGGGATGTTGTAGTGCAATCCGTGTGTCGTTAGTGGATAATCGCCCTACACGTGTTGTGTTCGGCGAGTGAGTATTTCAACTCCTTGTATTTGTAGTACTGCTGTACTAAATGCTGTATTTAGTACCACATGAAGTGCAACAACTTGTACACCAAGCACAACCAACGACCAATCGCGTTCGTTCGTTGTCCGTTCGCTACGATGAGTAATGTACAGCCGTAGCTTGCTATCGGTGTCGGTGTACCCTCGCAAAAGCCCCAAGCAGAGCACCAGCTTTGCTAAAGACTGCAGTAGCGAGCTTCGCATGCGACAGGAGCCAAGATGCCTTGGTATGTAGATTCAACAATATTGATATTTCACAGAAGCTCGTTCCGCATGCTGCTGTGAGTGTTGCAAATAGACACAGCTGTTGCGAAGTTAAAGCTACGGCCTCACCAACCCACCCCTTTCGTCGTCCCACTCCCCGGAATTCATCCGCCTCCGGCTACCGCAGCACCGTGCAGATGGTCGGATTCGATAACACCTTTTTCGGTGTAGGAGGGCCGGAAGTGGTGGTCGTATTGGTGGTTGGGTACTTCGTGCTTGGCCCGGTGGAGCTGGTAAAGCTCGTCAAGCAGGCGGGGGTCTTGGTTGGGCAGCTGAGAGACGTCGGCCTGGGCACGGTCAACAACCTCACAACGATCGTGGATGATCAGGTACAGTGTGCAGAGTGGTGCACATAGCTCGCTTCTTTGGACAGAAGAAGTGTTGTGGTTATTGTACCGAAAAGGGAGAGGATTGTAGCATTGTGTAGCGCCGCACTCCCACTTGCTGGTGCATAGAACGCGCTCTCTCTCATGTTCTGGGGAAAGTGCGTCGCGAAGTCGCGATGAGACCACCAAATGTACTACTGCAGTAATACTGCAGTCTGCGTAGCGCTGTCGAGACTGGTCGGTTCATGATACGACGGCTCATGCTGCTGTTTTGCTTGGTCCTGATGTGCTCCTGTGTACAGTACTAGAATTACCCTGGGCATCACCAGAGGCAGTGCAGCCTAAGCGGGAGATATGTGTGCGCCTGCACGAGTCACCCTACTGGCAACACACACCTATGCCACACTTTTGCTGGCTCGCGCGCTCGCTGGTTCTTCGCTGACGCCTGCTCTCAGATTCAGAATGCGGAGCAAATCGCGTCTGGGGAGAAGAAGCCCCCGGACTACTTTGCCCCCGAAGAAGAGTTCCCCATGAGCGACGAGGACGAGTTTGAGGATGTCACGGTGAGGCTGTCTTTGCAATACTGTGCTGTAGCAGTGTCATGCTGTACGTGAGTGCTGCGCCGGCGTGTACGGCAGTCACTGCTTTCCGCCCTGAGTCGTTTACCCTTCCCTCGTCGCCCTGTTTTGGTTTGGAGTTATCACGGCTTGTGTTTCAATGGTGCCGTTTTACCGTTTAAAGAGCTGGCTGGCGAATTGCGTGCGATCGATTTTGAAGGCTCGGTATGCTCCACAAACCAAGAGGTTGTCAATGAAGGTTGTGGGTAGATCTTGTCGAGGAAGAGAGCGCTTTCCTTTCCTTGCACCTGGTCGGTTGGAGTTCGCACCCTGTTGGTTGTGGAGCGATCGGTCTTTTAGAGTCGATCGCTCACCTGTGCGTTCGACCGCACTGCTGTCGGAAGTCGTTTCCTTCGTTACCTCCGCTCGTATGTTCTCTCCTTAAGATTGGAGTTTTGTCGGAGGGGGTTACCGTACTCCACTTGTTCTTCTCATGTGTATCTTGGCGGACCTTCTGTCGTCGTCCGTCCATTCCACCGCGGGAAGCTCGCTGTAGGTTATTTTTGCACCGACTTTGCTACAAACGTTTCAGGCGTATCTATAACCGCTCAGGTTTTGAACTGTGTTCGACGGTGGTTGTCACCAGTCATGACTGATGTGTTTACCAGCATTCAACGTATCAGTTTCGTAGGATGGCAGCAAACATGGCAGCTTGTTGTATCCCTTTGAACCGTCTCTTTATCGTAACTGCTCTGTTTCACCAATTTTTCACCGGTCGATCTCTATTCTCTCGATTGCGGGTAGATCGACGAGTACGGGCGGATGGTGTACGAGGGACAGCCAGAGAAGCCACCGCCGATCAAAGACGAGGACAGGGCTCCGTTCTGGGAAGGGTTGGGGGACAAAATCAGCGACAAGCTGAACGAGTTTGACAAAGAAGAGGTGAGTTTCTCTGTCATGCTGTGTTGCTATATTTGTAGCTCCCGGTGTTCGGTTCTAGTGTACAATGGTGCGCTGAGTGGACTACCTGTGCTGTCGTGAAACAGCAGTCCGCTTCGACCCTGCATTGTGTCATGCGTGGCTGTTGCTTAGGACGTGCCGCTTTTTCTCGAAGCGAACGAGGCAGGATTGTACCTAGGTCCTCTCAGTTGTCAGTCCCAAAAGGTGCCGCCAGCGGTCGCGGCCGATGGAATGTTGGCATGACAACGAGTTGATTAAACGCGCTCTTGATGTAGACATGGTGGTTGATTTCGAATAAATCTGTGTGAACAAATGTGTCACATCTGTGTAAACGAAATGTGTCACTTGTTAGGGTTGTTGGTGTCTTTGGTGTCACGGACGTTACAGCTGTCCCTCCCAGGCTCGCGACCCAACGCCGCACGCCACAAGTTCAGGTGTCTTTCGAGAGGAACGCACTGCGTAAATGTAAAACGGGCACGCTCCTTACCCCTTCCCCCCGTCCCCATCCTGTTTGTTCTTGCTTCCCTTGGGTAAACCCGAACCGCTTGATCCTTTTTTCGCCGTTTCAGGGACCCCTGAAAGAGGCAAGCAAGTTCGCCCAGCAGCTCAGCGGTGCCGTGAACGAGAAGGTGATGGGGATCGATAGGGCAGCCGCTCCGACTGACAGCAGCACTTCGGACGTTGGGGCGGGAGCAGCGTGGGAGGGCCCGGCAGAGGCCGTAGCTGGAGCTGGGGCGGGAGGTGCAGCCGGGGTCGGCATGGCTAACGGATGGAAGCCGCCCACGAGCGAGCTTGGCATGGAGGAGACAGTGGAGTTGGCCAATGATGTGCCCAGCGAGCTCGACGCACCGAGTGGCAGCAGTGCCACAAGCGAGCTCACCATCGACGAGCAGGTACATTTTTTTTTAGTATTTATTTGCCGCTAGAGTTTGGGTGGGGTTGACCAAGGCTTGACGTGAAACCGGCATCCGCCGAAGAGCATCTTGAAGCTTATTGCACTGCTTCTGTTGTTGGAGGACCGCAATGCCTGCTACCGTTAGTACTGTCGTCATTAACCGCCCTCGCGTCCCAGAGACGACTGCCGATGGCGCGTGTGCGGCAGGATCATCCCTGGTTTGTATTTTTCATGCCTTCCACATCAGCTTGTTTGTCTGCGTGGCTGTCATGAATCGCCTTCCGTCGCCATTCCTTACATGGGCGAATCCCGACTTGACTTGGCTTGACGGATGGCAGTTCGAACGGCTGGACACGATCGCCGCCTTGGAGGAGGAGCGAGCGTCGACGATGCAACGCCTAGAGGCGAAGATCGAAGCCAAGATCGGCAATATCAAGAACGAGTTGCTGGAGCTGGTGGATGAGGACTTCCAAGAAAAGAGGACAAAGATCGACCAACAGTTTGCAGCCCGGGCTGAGACTAAGGCAGCGGCAGCAGCAGCTGCAGCTGCCGCTGCGGCGACTGCTGCTGAGACGAAGGCCAAGCAGGAGGCGGTTGAGAGTGCCGGGGCGAAGGAGAAGGAGAAGGAAGAGGCAGCCGAAACGACCCCCGCAACAGCGGCCCCGAGCCCAAACGCAACCCCGCCGGAGAGATCAACAGCGGCCGCCGGTATCAAGATGGAAGAGAAATGACGGCAAACAGGGAGAGACGATCGCGGTAAAATAATTCCACCTTGGCACCAGCAGGGGTTCGATGGGTGACACGTCTATTGCACCTATCGCACGGCGGTAGTACAGCGGTGACACAGCGGGCGGAGGCCGTTGCAACAGGGCGGTAGTACTGCGGTGACACAGCGGGCGGAGACCGTTGCAACAGGATGTCTCCTTGGACGATGTTTTTCCAACAAGATTTCTGAAGCTAGAGCAGAGAGACAAGCCTGTTGGGGTACTACTGTAGGGGGGCTGGATGCGCCTAGCTCGACACGTCCGTGATTGTACGTTTAGATTGGATTGTGGTTGGTGTTGATGCCCAGGGCACCGGTAAACTGCTGCCACCCAGAGAGCACACACCTATTCTTCCCGACTGGTAGTCACGTTAACAACCTTTCACATACCAATCATCTGTCAGCTTCCTTGGGGGGGTATCTATAAGAACATGTGAATTGGCGCAGTAGTTCAAAGAGAGGTATTTGAGTGTTGCGGCAATGCGCCGGGGGGGGCACGACCAAACGCACGTACGCCGAAGTCCCTCAAACAGCTTTTGTTAAATGAGTTTCTGTTTTCATGATTGGATTTGCATGACGACTTAAAATTTCTCCGAACCAAAATTGAACGGCAAGGCCACTACTGCACATGGGAGATTTGAGGCCTGCAGGGGGGGAGGGGGGGGTCAGGTCCTGTCTGTGGGGCCCCGGGCGGGAGTTACCAAGACGTTAGAGTGGTAGAGGGGTAGACACTGGAAGGAGGGCTGTTGCTATTGTTGCTAGGGGCGGGGCTGTTGGAGATGATGGGTCGCGTATAAGGTTGCGGTTCAGGAATCGGGCTCATGTGACAATTTGAACCGGCGAGTTGGTATGACCGATTTTCGTCGTCGCGGATGCTCAATCAGCGCACTATAATAGTACCTTTTCGACTGAATAACGACCCCATTTCCACGAGCATACACGTATTTGGCATGCCGACACATCGAGCGTTCGCTAGTATTGAAGATGGAGCAGTCGGTATTTGTTTGTTGAACAGCATGGGCACCAGAAGACACGACGTATCTATTCTATGTAGCATTGCGACACATCCCATGTACACAGCACCGACAGCGGAAGAAGTGTCCACAGCACGATACCCCCTGCACTGCACTGGCTGCCTCTACACTCTCTCGTGTGGTGTTACAGGCAGTGAGTGCTCAACCGGAACTTGCAGGCAAAGTCCGTGGCTACAGCACTCTTCTCTTGAAAAACATTTGTGGCACGCAGTTCGCTGATTGGTCAACGCACCTGCGACGGAATTTCGAAACTTCATAAAAACAGGCACGGCCCAAGATCCTTGTTCGACGGGCGTGGTCGCCCACGGTGAAATCGAGGGCGGCACCCCAGGAAATCTTGGGAAAGTCGTGGCTTCTGACGGCGACCTTTCTGCAAAACCATCATCATAATCAATCTTGGATGACTAACTGCAAGTTCCTGTCAAGTACTCACTTGCTTCTAAACGCTCGCGACGATTTGCAGGCGAGTATCCTGTGGTCAATTTGCAGCACGCGCGGGACACGGGCGCACTGCCACCGTTCTCTAAGGCGTTATTTCACCGTAGACATGGCAAATATCTGCAGAGCTTATGCACACTCGATGTTCTCCTCGGACCAAGCGTAAACCACCAGTATTTTTACGTCACATTAACTTTGTACAGTAAACGGCAGCGTATTGCACGCCTTTTGCAGGAAGGCTGCACTGTATGCACAAAAAGTCTACCCGACCACGAAAAACAGTAGTAAAACCAACGCTGCACACGTAACCTAAGGCGAAAATTCTAGACTCACAAGGAATAGCTACGTATACGCCACCATGTGGTATATTTTTTGAGGCAGTAGACCCCCTAAAAACCTCCTTTCCACGACAACGCCGCCATCATACTGTACGTGTCATCGAGTGGGCTTCGTTGCCGCAAGGGTTTTCGTCATCCCGCCCGTCGTTGGTGTGGCACTACTGGTAGCAGCAGTGCTGGTAGTCATAGTGCTGGTAGCCATAGTGCTGGTAGCAGCAGTGCTGGTAGCAGCAGTGCTGGTAGCAACAGTGCTGGTAGCAGCAGCACTTGCCGCATCGAGAGAAGCGCTAGTCGCGGCTTCGCCGTCGGCCTTCCGTTTTGCCCCTCTAGCGGCGGGTTCCTTCCCTTCCTTGCCCTCCCCGTCTCCGTCGATGTATTTCTCCACCAGACCCTAGGATAACACGAACAGGAGCGGACAATGGCGTCGGCATTGGAACAACCAACGAAAAATTAGGCAAGCGGACGAGGACTGATGCCATGCCCATTTCCGCGTACATACCAGACGAATTCTCCATCACAACGCCCTTGGTAGGTGTAGAGAAGGATATCTGACTTCTAGCAGTAGCAGTAACAGGCCAAAGACGTGCATCCCCGAGTGAAGTGGCGGCATCATCGCTGGTGTTGCATCAACGACTTTCGAGAAAAGGCCGAGGATGCATGGTCCCTCATCAAACGCAAAAAACTGGCATCGACTCAAATTTTCCGAACCTCTTCATTTTTCCCGAGGCTCGCTCCTCATTCGCTCTAGGGAAAGCAAAATGGGTCATCATAGGTTTGAGTGTGGGGCGGGGCACAAGTGCTAAATTACCAAATTCATACTTACGTGGTGGCGCTGTCTGCAACGCTCCCAAGTTCCCAGTTAGTCGCAAACACCGCTAGGCGATTCTTCGACACAAAAAGAAAAAAATCCTCCAGTAATGGCAAAGCCCACAACGAGCATGCTCCGTGTATAATGGTTTTGAACAACTCGAGCTGTTCGCGGTGCAAAATGACCCACCCTCACTTCCGTATGGACACCAACCACATCCACGGCACGAAATGTAAGTTGCTTCATCTCTCATCCTGACACATACTACATACTACATAAGTACATAATTGGTAGGCTCACCATGAGGATGTTGTCCATGGAAAGCTTGAGGGCCGCTTTCGCGTCTCTGTCTTCCTCTGCCACACCAACACCTTCGGCTGCCTCTGCCTTCTCCTGCAGATCTTTAGCCTCCTTCTGCCAAGCCCAGTCGTAGCCCCCGCCAGAGTCTCTCAGCTTCGCCAGCTTGGACAACTCCACTGGAAAGGGGAGTTCCAAGATAACAGTGGAGGCGGTCATAACAGAACGGGCAAGAAAAGAGCACTAGTATCGGGGAGTTGTTGGGGCCAACTCCCGGCTCTCCGACCTTCACATCGTGATTGTGCTCTTGTTGAAGCGCATACACACAAGTGCACAGAACGCTTAGGGATATGATCATGGGGAGTCTGCATTCCACTGACAGCAATATAGCAGCCTCCTTCGCCAGCAACCTCGAGCGATGCGATGGGCGAATGTCCGCTTCGGATGGGAAATTTACATGTTCCTCTCGCCAAACAACGAAAGATCACGATTTCGAGAAACACATGCAGCTAAAACACGAGGAGCCCCCACAAAAGTACCTCCCAGCATCATCCACGCCAACCTGTCTTACCTCAAAACATGCTCGACCGCCTGCCCTCGGGTCAGAGTGCGGCACAACAGAAGCTTCCACCAACAAACGGATGAACGACTCTACATATTCAAATGCAGAGATCAGGTCTCACCACACCGCCTTAAGAATGAAACGACCAGTCGGGTTGGAGGCCGGCCTCACCAAAGGCGTTGTTGAGATGGTGGGTGAACTTGTTTAGACGAGACTTGATGAGCTTTTGCACCGTGGGAGCTTGGTAGATGACGCCCTCCATGATGTAGTAGATCGCCTGGACCTCAACCGAACTCGGGCTCTTGCGTACTTGTTTCTGGGCAGGGGAAGAAATCGCAACGTTTTGCTCTTGGTAAGCTTGGTTTGGGCATGGCACCATCGTGTTCAGTAGTCAACGCAAAAGAGGCGGTACCAGGTACTCGATACTTGGAGAGTGCGAGCGCCGACCACTCCTGTATGCCTTACAACATGACTCCGTGGTCATACAGATGCGCCGTGCTGAGCTGATGTACACTATCCAGGATCGTTTGATGGACTATCAACAAGGTGGTACCGCCACCAGATGGAATACTTGAGAATTCCGCACACGGCGGTATGTCCCTCCGATCACGGTTGTCCATCCGACTCCCATCGGACTCGAAGGCTGCATGCTGCATATTGCTGCTGCGGCAGGTTCGTTCGTAGCCGCCCACATGGTACTTCACCTAGCAACTAAAACCGGCAGGAGACAGCAGTGCCGACGAGGTACATACACGCCTCGCGCAAAGTGGTGGAAGCACAACACGGCTCACCTTGATTACGAAGAGACGTCGAGGCTGCGGCCCGGCTGGAGCTGGTTGCCCCGGTGGCAAGAAAGACATTTCTGGTGGGAGCTCCACCAACATGAACCTAATTCGCAGAACACGGTACACAGCAGTACGTCCAAGAAGGAGGAGAAAACACTCAGTCCACCATATGTGCCTTCTCGCAAGTGGTTTCACGTTGGCCTTGCTTTGAACCAGCTGTAGCACACTATACTTGCAACGTTGTGCTAAGGGTTAGGCTATATACAAACGTACACATTTTTCTTGGCCAACAAGAGGCAATGGGGAGTTTCGGCTCATGGTCTGGGTGTTCTCCTGAATTGGTTATAGGCAAGAAGACAGGTGAACCTTGTCTCATCCCACGCTTTTCGGTTCCACAGCGAGCGCTGTTCTATCGCCACATACAAAATGTAGACACACACCATAACGGAGGGGCAGGTCTGTCCGGTCGTGGTGACATGAGATTCGGACGAGTCTGTACCCTGCGATGTAATCTTTTTATGATCTACTACTCTAAGCCAGTCGCCCCGGTGGTCTAGTTGATATCCTCGAAACCGTCAAGAGGTCAGGTCACGGGTTCGGATCCCGACATAAGCGACCTTTTCTTGCAAAGTGAGTTTCTCTCTCGCTTCCGCTCCTGGCCTAGTGGATAGCGCTAGTTCGTGTGTACACAGAGGGAAGAGAGTGCTGAACTTTTCTCGCATTAAAAGGTCGAAGGCAAAGTACCGCAGGAGGAGAGGGTAGAGAGGGGCTCTTCTGTGTGACCACGGGTTGGAGTAGACGGCACCAGTGCTGTGAGCGCTGATTTGAAGTGAAAAAGAAAAAAAAAAACTGTGTTTCTGCTGAGAATATGAGGCAGCTGAACAGCAACCCATGCCTCAAATATTTTGAAGGTGGTGATGGGTGTTTGTCTGAGCGGTGGGCGGAAAGTGGGGTCGTCTCAGAGCTAAATATTAATATTGTCGGGGCCTTTGTCTGACCCAAAAAAACAGTTCCGAAACGCGCTGAAATATGGTGAGCAAGAGGCAATACAGTAGGTTTTTGCGGGGTGTAGCGGGGTAGTGCCCCATCCGGAAGCTAGTCATCAAAGCTTTGCAGGTTGACCCTTTCGGTGGGCTTCTGTTGTACCTAACCCGTACAGTAGTACCCCGCATAGCAGTAACACCGCCAGGACTTGCGAGATGCGAGATGGGCTACGGGATGTAGACTAGCATACAGAGGTTATATTTTACATTCTGTATTGTTCGGTCGTGGCGGTTGAACCCTTGATCGCTTCGAGCCGTCGGCAACGTGCTAACTTGACACACGGCAGTACTACTTCCTCTCATGCTGTGGTGCATGCTGTAAGCATAAGTACTTCGCGCCTATGCATATGCAGATATGCAGATGTTCGGTAACTGCTGATGTTGGATTGGGGGCGAAAGCGGTGGGATAAGTCCCCAGCCTGGATCATATGGCTACCTTCCACCAAACGAGGCTGCCCAGGGCAGTGCACAACCTTGCGAATTGCGAAACAACACAGATGTTGCGGGCCATGCACGCTCATGCGAACTGCACCCACCCACATCTGGCTGCTGCTAGATGAGAGGCCTACATAGGCAGCGGCTCAACGGGTCGCGGAGGGACAAGATCGCACGCCAACGGGCAGGAGACTGCGGCAAGAGAACGGTCAATTCATGATCTCTCAAGCTGCAGCAGCTCACCCACGACAGCACACGACGTCAAGGCACATACCCAAGACCACTCACTCTAGCCCGGTTAGGTTCAGCAGCCCTTCCCGTGGATCCACGCCCTGCATCCTGCACTGCTCGTTGTTGCATGCTTTGTCGTAGAAAGGGCTGAGAGCGAAGTAGTCCAAAGCGTTCTCCGGCCCAAGTCCCCACTGCTGCAACCACACCGGGTCAATGAACGACCTTTGCTCTGGGTCTTCTGCTGCCCCAGGGAAATCCATCTAGACCACACCCGTCTCTCCTTGCAAAGATGTTGATTGCTTTCTGGCGGTTTACCACCTGGCTGCAGCAGTCTGTGCAGTGCGTTGGTCTTTTCAGTTGTCGGTTGTCAGTTGCTTTTCTCCAGGGGCTCCGCAGAGGAATTTCAGCAGGTACTGCCATATGTCTTCTGGGGGGATATTTCTTTTTTTTTTGTTTCTGGTGGCAGGCGGCGGCTGGCGAGGGCGGCAGGCACACGTGATCCTAGGGCAAGGGTTACTACCACCATGTTCGAGGCACCCGTTACCGTGGATGGCCGCGGCCACCTTCTGGGGCGCCTGGCGTCCGTCGTGGCGAAGGAGCTGCTTGGCGGCCAGAAGGTGGTCGTCGTGCGGTGCGAGCAGATCACCATCAGCGGCTCTCGTGAGTTACCACCGCCATTCTGCTCGTAGGTGTTGATCGCTTGTTGCCTCACCCGATTCCCAGAGACAACTCACCAGTGCTCCTTGTCCACACCCTGGGTGAAGAGAGCATTGCTCGCGAGTTGGGGTTGCGGTGTTGGTTTTGAGAGTGGAGCAATAGAGGATGCGTTGGCCTGTTTTGGGGTTGGTGTTTTGGGGTTGGAGAGGAAATAGACTTGGGCATTGACTCGTAGGTTCGTGGTGACCAGTCGATGCGGGCAACCGCGATGCCAAAGGGCGTTCTGCGAACAGCGGTAGCCTTCTTGACAAGCGGTGCAAGCCGGCTGCTAGCAGCATCTGGGAGGTTTCAGGCTGGCTGCCCACTTCGTGATTGCGGTGGTTGTTCGGAAAGCTCACACGACTCACGTTGTGCCTTCTCCATGCATGCTCGAAACAAAAGCAAAAACAGGGCCTGCTGTGTGTATTCACTCTCTGTGCGAAAGAGGTTGTTGGAGGAGGCCATACTCCGCTGCAATCCGGTCCCCCATCTTCCGGTAGAGTAAAAGGCTAGCGGCCCGCCCATTGGGAGTACAATTGTTGATTTCGTAGGAAAGGCCGATGTAGTTATACACCAATAGCATTGCTGTCCCTGCACGGCAACCTTGGCGCTCAACTCTCCCTATCCCTCCATGATCGCATGGCAGTGGTCCGTAACAAGGTGAAGTACATGCAGTACAAGAAGAAGAGGCACAACACCAACCCCAAGCGCGGCCCGTACCACTTCCGCTCGCCTGCCCGCATCTTCTGGCGGACGGTGAGCCTCGTCTCTCTGTGTGCAGGAGCAGCTGCAAGGCGTGCTATTGTATCAGTATGTAATTTTGCCACCTTTCCCTGTGTTGGAGTGTGATATGACAGATCCGCCCTATACCTACGCGAGTACATGGCTGCTGTACTATCGGTACTTCGTTTTGGGGTGTGGTGCTCAAGAGCGCTCGGCCGTGTTGGTGTGTGTACGTTATAATGGAACCGGGTGTAAACCCCGTTACTCCCCTTCTCGTTTGTTGCTTTTGCACTTGAGCGAGATTAGTCGTACCACTTGTACAGCAGTAGTACGATATCATCCCGAGTCTTGCGGTAGAGTCTTTCGGACTCTTGGCCATTTTGGGTTCGGACGCCCTTTTGACCGACCCACGACGGGGTGTAGGCTCTTTCGTAACCCCATGTGCCCGGTGAATTGGGCCATGTACGCACGTGGCAGTGCAAAGATAAATCTCAAATATCGGCCGCAATAGCGTGTATCGCCTGTCCGATCGTGCGAGTAATGCTGAGAACGTAGTCTGTCGAACTTCCAGTGCTTTGTAGACTGGCGTACATAGAGTAGTAGAGAGGTGTCGTTCCCCCCACCCGATTTATCGACCACAGGACAAGTTTTCAGTTAGCAGAGGCGAATGATACATCTCCAGAGCCGTTGCTGAGGTCGATTGTACCCTTGTCTGCACCTCTTGTAACCCTCCTCGCTGTCGAAAATCCTCATGGGGGAAGGTTGAGATTCTCCTGGCACCGCCCCTCTCCCCGGGGACGAGAAGACCGATGCCTGCTGAAAGTTTTACATCTGCCCTATCATGGATCATGGTTGGTGTGCGACGAACCTCGGTAGGTATCGTCTTGGTTCTGACTGTTGCAAATGTTGCTGGTGGCTGTGTGCTGCGTGCTTTTGTACCGACAGGTGAGGGGAATGCTCCCCCGCAAGACCGCCAGGGGCGAGGAGGCGCTCGCACGCCTCTCGGTAAGCAATCAAACAGCAGTAAGACAGCAGTACCAGGCATCAGATAAATAGGCGGAGAGGGACGGTTGGCTGAATCGCAAGTGCATCCGCTGCTGGTTACCGTAGGTGGTGAACTGAAAATAGGTGTTCGTTGCTTTGTTGAATGCTAGAACACTTGTGGGTGATGCACTTGTGTGCTTGCATCGAACTATTGGGCGGCGGATCAGTCATCGCTGTTACAGTTCTACCGGATCCCGCCGCTTGGGAGGCAACGGCAGGATTAGGAGATGTGTAGACGTCTTTTCTGCGAGAGTATGATGTCTGGCGCTAGCTGAGCCGTTTTTGTGCAGAGGGGGCAGTAAGAATGGCGACAAATATCATATGACAAGGGCCATCGTTCTACTGAATATTCGCGCGTGTGCCATTTTGGCGGAGTCTGATGATAGTTAGCGCAGGCAGCAGTAGCAGCAGCAGGCAGCCCTCCACGCGTTCTGCGGGAAGCCACATATGATAGGTCTTGCACCCCATTGTTGCAGGCCCTACTATGATAGCCCTCGGCGGGTTGGTATGGTTTATCCACTTCGACGCTCCCGATGCGGAATATTTCCTCCCCCTGCTCCAAAGCTAGCTGTCGATGGCGTGGCATGTGCTCCATTGCTGCTGTTGTTTCTGTTGCTGTTTTCCGCAGTGCTTCGAGGGCATCCCGGCCCCCTACGACAAGAAGAAGCGTATGGTCGTACCTAACGCCCTTCAGGTGATCAGGATGGCACCCGGCCGCCGCTTCTGCGTGCTCGGACGCCTCTCCGAGGAGGTCGGATGGCCGCACGCAGAACTCATCAAGCGCCTCGAGGTAAACAACACTAAACGTTGTACTCACTAAGTCCACGATGAACAACATACCAGGGGATGCTAGATGCCAGCCTTTTGTTGACGTGGCGAGATGTGCAACGGCTTTCGATCGTGGCGCTATTTCATGCATCATTTCCTGTTGAATGAGAGTCCTGTGGCGTATATTTGCTTGTCCGGAAGAATCACGACGCGTCGGCTTTGTATACGTCGCGATAGACGGACCAAACGCTATTGGTGCCTGTTGCTCACGGCAGAAAGCGCTAAAAATGACCTTACATGTAAGAGAGATAATAGTCTGCTTGACGCTTGACACGTGCTAGGCAGAAGGCTATCTCCCTACAAATGTCCCCGAGGCAAGGCATACGTGGACGAAAGTCGTGCATGTACAAATGACTGGGTGCACCCGAGTTCATTCTAGGTGTGCGGGGTAACAGCAGTGCACCCTATCGAATGGAAAGTATGGTGTTTTCTTGGCGCTCCTGCTATTTATTGCTAGCCATTTCACCTTTGACCTGGTGTACCTTGTCACCCGGTTGCCGTCATGATGTTGACAGTTGACAGCATACTATGGGTCGAGTCTTCCCGCTCGTGTCCGGTGGTTTGGTATCCAAATCCTATTGATACATTTCCAAGATGATTTTGACGCTTTACAGTACAACACAAAACAAAGAGCTGTTGACTAGTTTTCGTCTACGTAGCCGGAGCAGTGCTAGCAGTCGTACACATGTCACTGATGCGGTGGTTGTACCCTGACTTGGAGCAGTACGCTAAGTTACTTCAACCACTTTGTTGACGCACGCACACCACACGCACAGCGTTGCTGCAGCAGGCGAATATACCGACTCTCTTGAATATATGTATTTCACACGATGTCGTGGGTGGGTTGTGTTCCAAGTTATCTTGTCTTCTCATGGTGGCGTACTACTCCGGAATCCGTACCTGTTCGTCGGCTCGTACGGTAGAGATGGTGGGGCGACATTTGGCCGCTCCAAACGATGACACTGTGTCGAGCCGTCACCTGCGGCGTGCCACGCTGCCTACCGGACCCTTGAGGATCGATGGCAATTGCTGGTTGGTTGGTGTCACCTGTATTGACCTACCTGGAAGGAAGATACATGATGCCAAACACACCACCAGAATGTCGCAAACGGGCGAAAGCGCCCAACTCGACAAGCGTACTATAGTGGAAAAGCGCTATGTCAAAAGCAGCGAGGTCAACACACGCATTAACGGAGCAAATGCTCGGCCTGACGCATTCGTCAAGAAATGCAACTTTCTTGACTTGTGTTGTTTCTCTTCCCTCACTCCTGCCCCCGATTTTTTGTTTCGTGCACTCGTTCAGGCCCAGCGCAAGATCAAGTCGGAGGCGTACTACGTGGACAAGAAGGCGGCCAAGCAACTCAAGGACAAGGCCACGGCAGAGGCCAACTTGGCTGCCGTTGCGCCTGTGCTCGAGGAGTACGGCTTCTAATCGAACTCCCAACTCCACCGCCATTCCATACCGCTGCTGCACCAGTTGTATCTCTCCTAGCCGTTGCGGCTAGGCTCTCTGCTCGTAGTTTGTTCGCCGCCCTCGGTGCTTTACTTTCTCCGTTTCAAGGGGGGGAGGTGGCGTGTGTGCGCTTTGGGACAAGTTCTAGCTTGGTTGGCGGGGGTGGGGGGTACAGCATGGTCGTCGTAGTTTCGCGGGATCATGGTGTGGGATAAATGTCCGACGGATCTTCACGTGTTTCTCTTTTCTTTCGCGTGAGGTCAGTGTGACCCTTCCAGAGGCCTCTGCTTGTGGTGAACAACGCGGAGTCGTGCACCTTGAGGAGTAGATGGTAGTCAAATCAGCTCCTCGATGTGTGTCCCTCCCTGGAACCGACTCACTAGGGTCCGTGGGGAAATAGCAAACCAACACTGGAGTGATATCCACCGCACGTCCTCGCAGCAAGTCATCTTGTCAACGCGTGTTTTCACACGTGTTCGTTCTTCCCCACAGTACTCCCTGAAGGAAACATTTTCTTGATGAGCCGCTAAACGTGATCGCTGCTTGATTAGACGAAATAAACTGTCAAACCCTCTCAACACTGCTGAGCAGTTAGCTGTGGTACTCGAGGAACCAGAACAAGAGATGGAACCTCGGAGAAAAAAAAAACACCCAATGACGTCGCGGCATACCTATATCACAGTGCCGCCACTCTGGCGTACCCCCTCGAGCGCTTGCTGCCGCGGGCGCTGCTGCGGTGCTGGCTCTGTACTCGGTGCACCACGCGTGTTGGTACATTGCCCGCGAATTTCTCACCATCGCACGGCGAACAACTTGTACATCAATTGCCACCCTCTCTCGTTGTGTCTGGATGCCGCACATGGCGAAACGGGATGGCAAAAATGCCCAACGACAACGTCAACAACAGCATCGTCATTGTGCCAAGGGCAGTAAGCTGCTGAACATCGTTGATGCACACGATATCGCGTACTGGAGCCAGTGGCGTCTAGCCATACACGGGGTTTGCGCCCGATTTGAAGCAGCGGCACAGGTCGAAGCGGATGCATGGTCTCGAGAACGACTGGATCATGTCAGCATCTCAAGGCAGCAGGCGTTGAGCAGCGAAGTGAGACATCTCGAGACGCAGCTCGGCAAACACACGAGCATGAATGCCAAGCTCGAGGCGGCGTTGTGCGAAAACGCGGGCGCACTGGCCACGGCAGAGTCAGCAAGGATAGCGGCAGCAGCTACTGTCAGCCGATTGCAGGTCAGCTTCTGTTGGGACTTGTTCACAGAGTCATGGTGGGCAACATTGCACCAGCAGCTGTATACAGACGTACCGCAGGTGACGCATGATATCACACCCCCTTGGCTGATTTTCGCAGATCGATTATTGTACTGAAAGAGTACCGACGGCGATCATGGCGGCGTTATTCCCGTCTCGTGAAGATCTTGCCAAACCTACCTTGGGATTGTGAATGCTCTTCGCCGTGGAGCAGTCGAGCTCTGAAAATCGGTCCAGGGAGTGTGATATCTTGCGTCACGTACGGCTACCTCGCGGTAACTGCCGAAGCCTCATTGCCTCGAAAACACCGGCAGTTTCGTTGGAAAATGGTTTCACCGACAACAGCAGCGTGGTGTCGTTGATGCTTGTCCCTCAAGAGAAGGGTGTGCATCATGTGCGTCGGAGACTTGGTCGTCGCAGTGTCTCATGAAACAATGACCCCCGTGGTCTACAGGAAACAAGCAAAGGAAGATGTGTCTGTTTCCTCCTTGTTTTGTCTAAAGGTACACCACTTTGCCGAGGCAGAGTGTCGCTCTCTGTTTGTTCCGTGCGAACCCTGCCGTTGCTAAACTACAGCGGTAGGGTATGTGACAGATTGGTGGCTGCGGAAGTACTATGCCATTATGTACGGAGTATGTTTTCTCCTCTCGACGGCATCTATCAGTTTGACAGCCTGGGTCTGTCGCGCTGTGAGGGTCGCGATTGTTTGAGTGGAGAGAAAATTTAGCTGTTCGTTGTTTTGACAGGTGTCGGTATTCGCGACACTTGAAGGTGAACCGCCGCCCCTACTCTATCAGTCCAATAGCTTGTGTGCTTCAAGTGTTGCTCTGCCTACATCCCCTACCGTTGGAACAGCCTCAGTACCGGTAGAGTACAAGTACGTCAAAAGTACGTAGACCGTTCTACACCACGTCGGACCCTCGTGATGCTTAATCCAAGAATCCACAGATACTTGACAGGTGACAGTTCCGCTCCTGACTCGATCTATCAAGCCCTGCGGTTACGCACGTAGAGTACCAAACCGCTCATTTTGTACAACATCACGGCAGTGCAAGTTCAAATGCACGCCACATTTTTCAGCCTTCGAAGATTGTACAGAACCAGGTTTGGTTTACAGTTTACATGGACAGCTGGCGTTACCGATCATTACATTCGGCGAGAGGGAGCGCCATGGGCAGTTCTGTTGACTTTGCTTACGAACGCCTAGTTTGGGTTACTTCATGTATACGACCCGGTGAGAACCAGCATGAAAATCGATGGAATGAGGCTTGACCAACACTCAATCTTCCGCCGCGCGACGGAAGCCACCATGTTGTAGCCAAGAGCACGGCATTCGTGCACGATGTATCACACAACAGTCGTGTCCATGCCGTTTGCCGTCACCACTGTAGGCCCAGATATCCTACGACCAAGAGACAGCGAAGGCCTCGGCCAGAGATCTGGAAGAGAAGATATCCCTTTCCACCATCGCATACCAAGGCCTAGAAGAATCGCTCCAGCAGGTACAGGAGGCCAAGCGCCAAGCTGAAGCAAAGTGTGAGGGGTTGTTGCGAGAGTCGGCTAGAACAGACGAGGAATTGAGAGAGGCAAGACTGGCGATTTCCAGAGCGCTTGAGGAAGCGCGAGCAGAGAAGGAGAGGAGAGAGGCGCTACAGTCTGATCTGACGGCCCTTCGTGAGAAGTACAGCGCTCTGAAGAGACGTTTCGTCGACGCGGGAAGAAAAGTGAGTGCAGTGGGTTGATGTCGCTGGGGCCCAGCATGTAATTCCCGCGCAGCGGTAGACAAAGAAAACGATGCCCTTCCGTTGCCTGCTGATCACATGCGTTCGTTCACGAACGAAGAATGCGCGACTGGTCCTGCGCACCGTACAGCAACAGCAACACCGGCAGTTGTCGTCGTCTGGAGACAGCTAGCGTGACTCCCTGTTGCGGTGCATAGGAGACATAATATCGTCTACTGACAGTGTCAAACAGTTCGCGACGATGGTGGCGAAGAAACGCAGCCATCGGGTGGTGAAACAACGAGAACAATAGAAACCATCCGGTGGTGTACGCTACAACACTAGGAAGGTGACGCGCTCAAGCGCTTGCATCACTTAGCCCAGGCGCGGTGTTGGCCCTATTTAGTAACAGATGCTCGGGTTGGACAAAAATGACAGGTCTCTGAAACCGCCTAGGCTCCACTTGCCGCTTTGATGCCAAGGTCACCACAGCAGTAGAAGGCATGTGATGACGTTCTTAGGTGTGATGCATGGCGAGCTTTCAGCATGCACTTGGCACTTGGTTCGATTCACGCTTACCGCTGCGGTGCGGCTTCCACTTCATGCGATGCCGTAGCTTCACGCTTCTCTCGCTTGTACCGCCGCGACAATGACACACTGCTGTTCCCTCGAGAAAGGTTGAAGCCGTGCGTGGCGAACGAGATGCCTTGCGGCAAGAGCGTGCAACGCTACAAGACAAGCTGGCGGACGTGGAAAAGTTCCAGAGCTCAAACCGAGGGCAGGCGTTGGATCGAATGGAGCAGGACCTTGCCTCCGAACGGATGCAAAGGGTAGAGCTAGAGGCGGACAGAGACGACCTCCAGTCACAGTTGGCAGCCGCTCTTCAGGCAGCAGCGCGTTCGTGGCCGTCATGAACATCTGCTGTCAGCACTCTGGCTGTTTTGGCAGCCACGATCCACGAGGTCCAAGCCAGATCCTTTTGACATGTAAATCCTGAGAGCTTGATGGGGGCGCACGCGGCTGTACGCTTGGTAGTAGTGGTTTTCTCACGTCTGGAATCCACGGTCAACCGGCGCTTGCAGATAAAAAAGTTTCAGATATGTGCAGAAGTTAACACTCGGTTGATCTGGAACTATTGTACAACACTTCCAGCGTGATTCGACCGGGGTTGTGGGTTGTGTGTAATGGGCGGGGAACCTGTAAAAAACGAAACGAAGAGGTTGTTACAGTAGGATAGAAATCGCTCCATGCGGAGTGGCAAAGGGGATGCAGTCAGAGTGATACTGCAGAAGTAAAATTAGGCACAATATGCCCGACAAGATTGAACCACGTACAAGTACCATTCCGATGCCTCAGTATTGACTGTGCAGGCAAAATCACATTTCCCGGACTTGGATTATGTCGATCCGTGACGAGGCTAACCGAAAAAGTCCATTGAGGCTCTCTGAACGTGCAACGCACTGTCACCGCATTGCTGCATGGACATGGGATGAGATAGGGACTGTCTCCCCCTGGTATTGTTGCTGTTGGGCTGGCGACATTGTAACAAGGTTTCCTCAGGTTCCCTTATCCACGGCAGCAAAAGGGACGCAAGAGAGTTAAACTGGACCCATGAATACATCACGCCAGAGAAGCCTCACGCCGACAACGCTGAATGTACGTGGGTTCGAACGATCACACCCAAAACCTTTCCTCTCCACAAGCTTCACAAATTTACAAAATGGGCAACAGATACGCATGTACACGTAACCAAACGCCGTGGTGCGGTGTGTGGTGTCCTTTCTGCAAATCGACTACGCGCATGCTCGTCATGGCTAGTGGGCGAAAACTTTCGGCAGCCTCTAGCCAAAATCACTACCGCATAAACTGCAAAAACCACTCAAGTCTACCCAAGACCTACGGTATTGTACCTCTTGCAATATACAGCCAACATCGTGTCAAAATTTGGAACATGTTTCCAGCAAGAGGACAGCGGTGTCTTTCGCATCGCTCAACGGACAACACCAGGCAAAAACCGTTCAAGCATGTTGCATTCCATTGCAGAGTCTTGTTCAGGAGCTCGGTGCGCTACAGCCCCATATCTATCGCCGCCACCCCTTGAGCAAGAGACTTCACCTCCCCGGCGTCCATATCTCTGCCCTCGCCGATGACAGAATCCTGTCGCACGAATATACACAACAGTACAGCAGTAGAACATGGCATCACACGACATGCCATGCGTACCAGGTTGTAGTCAGCCGTAGCAGCATCGATTACCGCAACGCTAGCATCAATAGTTGAATGTTATCACAATCGCCTCCAAGTGGTCGACCGGTGTTGAACTAGGGTTGCTTCTGCGAAAGAATGGGATAGGTCGAAGCGGGGTGGGCATCATCGTCAATACGTCATGGTCACGCTCACGCCCACTGTCACCGCCATATCTCGCCTAGGTGATGAAAGCATCACGTATGTATTGTACCCGTAACTTTTCATGACAAAAAGAACAACGGCTATTGGTCAAAATGATAAGCTCAATTCCAGCAGAGCAATTTCACATGACGCGTACATGTTACAATCGCATTCACTCAGCGATGAGAGCAACGCAAATAACGACGCGTGGCGTAGCAGCATGATCGCCTTCTCGAATTTCAGAGCGCACACGGCAGGAGCACGGCAGGATCGCTCTTATTATTGTCGAATCCGATCAAGCAAGTTAAGCGAGGCGCCTGAAGATTCAACTCTAGCATACGTAAGTCAAGCTCCTCTACATGTCTATGTATGATATGCCGATTGGTTCGTTCGGTGGGGGAGGGAGGGAGGCAGCAAAACATGCCTCGTGTGTTGTGTCAATACACGCCATTTTCCCATGTCGACTTGGAACCAGTTTGTAAGTAAAGAAAACAACAATAACTCATGCAGCGATAGAATAGGCAGGTTTCACCCCAACTAAGCACTCCAAGCAAAACACCACAACTAACTACAGTCCAGTCCAGTACTGTACCTCGTCGCTGCTCTCGTCATCGTCCTCTGCGATCTCCGGCAGAGGGAATCGTAACACAGCGGCGATTCCCGTGAGCTGTCCTAGCTGCTCTCCCGTCACGTGCATGCTGCTCCAGGTGGCCAGCGCGGATAGAGAGACGCCCACGCAAAAAAAGAACACACGATATGGAAAATGGAAAGTATCAGTACAGGATAGCAGCGAACCCACAGGGAAAAGCCGACCATTCGATATTATTGACTAGGCGCGATGATGCTTATCAACTACTACTTCGAGGATGATCGAAAACTCAACTTTTCGCTCCTGGTACATAGTATTTCGAAGAATTCGAATATACTTTCACGACAATCAAAAACCGAGTGAATCATGGCGCTGCTGGTGCTGGTGCTGGTACTGGTGCTGCCCGTCCTACTGGTGCTTCCTTCCAAACCTAGCGACTACAGCAGCCTGAACCAATTGCCAAGTGATACTGCAGCTGCACCGATTCGGTTTGTTGATTTGAATGATTTGACTCGACTGACCTGGAAAACACGAAGACCTTGGCGCCCCTATCCTTGGCCGCCTCGACCAGACCTACGTACTTTTTTCGCGTCTGCAAGTCGCTGCAGATGCATAGAAGTACGTCCGACACGACACGAGTCAAACGGCGGTGGTGGTGGTGGTGAAACACCGCTGTTCTGTTGCTGGCCTTTGGCGAACGGTTCTCGATGACGGCACAACAGCAACATATGTGAAGGCTTTGATATCAAAGTTCGACGAAAGCATTAGACAAACACGGCGACAAGATGGTCGACACGAATGGCTTTTTCGTCAACAAACACAACACGAATGTGGGACGTGAATTCAGACAACGCACTCAAACTACGCCCCGAACGAACACTGCAGTACCAACTATTAATGTGTGTATACTTGCCTCCTCTTGAAAAACTTACCTTACGATTAAGAAAAAAGGGAACCATTGCGCATACTCAAAACAGTTTTGAAACTTGTCGCACAGCACAAACACACCTGCTTCGGAAAAGACCGTCCGTCACCAGTAGGCTGTCAACGGCCAGCTCTTCGTTCGCCCTAGACACGTGCTGCAATCGGAACCAGCAAGGGCCGCAGGTACCACACGACGCAACATCAACATGTGTAATGGCAAGGAGGGTGCCGTCAAGTACCGTGGACCAACGGCCGGAAGATAGCACGGGTGGCGCACATAGACAGTGTAGATCGACCACTTCGAGAGCGGAGAAAAGCGAAGATGTCCACAACAGTACACACTCCATCCCACCGTAAATTACCAACAAGCCGATACAAAAAAACATGACGGGAATGGCGATACGGCAATTCTCAACGAACCATAACAGCACTTCAGGGCTGCTTTTGTACAGGGCAGGCACATGGTTGTGGGGGTACCAAATTGTAGTCTTGGCCAGCCTTTACTTCAAATGTTGGGCCACGCAACTTGACCGGCGATATCTACCACTATTTTAGTGGCACAATTTTGCATTTGGTAGATTCTTCGGAGCGGTCGACCGAGTGCGATGCGGCTATTTGCCTTAACCACCGCTGCAGTGGTTTGTCCCTCTCTTAACCCGCTGACTCTGTGGAATCCCATGAACAACCAACCGTTACATCCCTCCATATTACCAGCAAACCCATTGGGGTCAGTCAGACTTGAAACGCCTGCACGCTGAATAAAACGCTCTCCCACACGCTCACGTTGTACCCGTAGTAAGCCCTGTCGGGGTCCTTCTTGAGCATGTCGAAGAAAGTTGCCAGGGCCCTGATTTCCTCGCTGGCCTTGGTGTCCGCCAGGCGCGTCTGAACGGCGGGCTGTGACAGGATCTCCTCTACGGCGTGCTTGTGTCCCGAGGAGGCGTGCACCAGGACAAACTTCGACTTGTTCTCGATCAGAACCTGCCCATCGTTCGTGTCGCGAAACGTGTTTGGGTTGAGCGACGTACGCATATGAATAAAATGGGGTGGAACGTGTGGGTACAGCAGTAGGAATTGAAATCCGTGCGACCCCTTTCTTTTCATTCATCGACACGCTTTAACAAATGCAAAAACGGGTTCAGGTTACCTCTGCCATACTCGGCCAACGGCTCTGCACACCGGTTAAGTTTAATATCCCAAAATCCCGAGCAAACACTGAGAACACGGTGGAGTCTCTTTGCGTCTTTCTTACGGCAACTTGCTCGGCCCGCCACTGTCAAAACCAACATCAGAGCTGCCAATAGGAAGCAACAACTCCGTCGTGGAGAAATGGCCCAATCGATGTGCACCGTGAAACGCTTCTTGGTCGCCAAAAAGCACCGCCACGCGGCCATCGTCAAGCCACACGCAACGCCTCTCACCCGTTCTTCTCTTCTGACCGCCTCTAGGTTGAGGAACTCGAAAAAGTCGTCCTTCACGAAGCCAGGACTGCCCAGAAGCAAGCACTTGATCTGCTGGAAGTTCACGTGCCGCACGATCGCCTGCCCGGTCCAATGGCCACCACGCGACATGAAGACACACGCCGACCAAGATGAGGAGTGTGCCCATTAAGTCACAAAGTGGTCGCTGCAGATACACAGGCGCTGGCAGCAAGTTTCCTGCTGTACGAAGTGATGTTACTGGTCCTTGTAGATAATTGTCATAGAACGATGGATGTCCGTGACCACTATCACTACGGTCATGTCGTGTGGTAGTGTCCCCGAAGCAGTCATAGCAGCAGCATTCAACTACAGTACCTGGTAAACCGCTTCGTAGAACCGGGAGATGGCCTTCTGGTGGTCGGAGCTGCCCGCCCTCTTACGCGGGATGTTCATCTCGATCCGCGCCCGCGTGACCGTCATGTGGGACGTCACCAGGCACACGTGGGCCAGCCCTCCCGTCATCACCACCGCCGCTACCTCAGCCTGCGGGTTTCACCGATGCGGTAAAAGACTTGGAACGGTTTCGTCTTCGACGTGCCCTTTCGATACGTCCATGGTTGCGTTTTCCCTCTGTTGGAAGTTTGGGTCTTGCCCAGATGCGCTGAAGAACACGAGACGCATACCCATTGGAGGTCTAGGCAAAACGTGGAAATTCAGTGTGAGACAGACACCGCTCCTCTGTCATCTTGCGGCGCAACTCAGCCTTGCCATCGGCGCATAGAGACAATCCCGATCGTACGTGGGTTGACGACACCATAGGGTGAGGTCTGCACAAGCAGCACTGCAGCAGGCACAGTAGCTCACGGACAATATATTTAATCTTGGTCGGGATTGCCGTCATGCGCCGATGACAAGGCTGAGGTGTGCCGCAAGATGGCAAAGAATGAAGTCACCGCCGGAGGGGTTTCCACGGCTACGATGCTGTGCATGTCTGCCTGAAAGCCAGAGGGGTTGTGATGGGTGTACCTGCGTGGTTTAGAGAAGCAGTGCGTACCTTCTTGGTGGGGTCACTGGATGTTTCTATCCGCTCCAAGTGGATCAGATCCCAGACATCCTTCTCTATCGAGAACACTTGGTTCAGCTCCAAGTCCAATGTGTGGTAGGCCCCGATCTGCGGCGCAAACGAAGGTGGCAGCAGCAGTTGGTTGTGGGCGGGACATGTGGGGGGCAAGACCAGATCGCTTGCATTGAACACCGCCGTGTCTTGCAGCTTTGAGCGCTGGAACTTCGTCCTGTTGAGTGCTTGTCGCGCACATGTATTCCACAACCAAGGCACTGCCGAGGAAAAAACGACAAACGAAGCCTTTGGTGCTCAACCTTGCTACTATAATATACTATAAGAGTCGCACAACGCTCGTCCGACTTCGCGATCCCACAATGCAGTCTGCCCTTCCACACGTGAACAACACAGATTACCACCACTCATGCAGAAACGAGGACCAAATTCACCACCGAGTCTCTGGCAGCTAAACCGGTACACGCATCACCGTCGGGTCTGCATTGATGCTGATGCTGCATGGCTTCGCAACAATCGTGGTCGCGTCATACCTTGACGTGCGGATTCTCTTCCGAGTTTCTCCCCGACAGCCGCAGCAGGCACGAGTCGGAGTCGAAGTCTACCCTCTCGACGGCGATGGTGAGGCTCAGGCGGACCCGCTTGCTCGTCGTTGACCCCGTCGAGCTCTCGTTTACCACCTTAGGAGGGAATCATCAACAGCAGTCAGTCATAGCCATCGCAGCTTATCATAGCTTTGGTCATATCCGAAACGTGGCACTGAACACGATCTATGTTCATGTACTCCAATGGCAACAACAAACTTCTTGACTGCTACATAGCAAGCTCTAAGCGAAAAACCTTTGCGTTTCCGAGACATCTGTGGAGCGGGAGGACCAGTCCTACCTACGTCCCCGATCATGGGCCGCTTTTCTTGCGAAGCGTGTTTAGCACAGGCAACGTGATGAACATGTTCGCAACCAGTATCATATGGTGGAGGCATTGGTCCAAAAGGTCGGGCTGGGGCGCGTTTCTTGCTCTCGGGTCCCGTTTCCATTGTTGTTTCCCCCAAATCAACCACTGTTACGACAGTCTTACCCATTAGACTACTCGTCAGCCGCTGACAGAGTAGTCTAATGGATAAGCCTGTCTTCACAACAACCAATCTGGCTCTACCACATGCACTACAGCAGTACATCCAACCTCGGCCTGCGCGTTCTCATGACAACTGATGAGAGTGGCATTGCTGTCTACACGCCGAACAAGAGTCCACTAGCGATTTCACGGCTCTGAGCGAATTGTGAACGCAGCAGTCCAACGCGGAGATGAGATCGCTGCACGTGTCAATACGACAGCAGTTCTGCTGTACATACTGGCATGCAAGGACTCTTCGTTTCGACTGCTTTTCAATTCAAACATCAAGTGCATGCCTCTCGGTACATACATTGTAGATTCATACTATAATACGTGCCTTGCGGACGGTGCTCGTGCGGACCCTATCCCCGTCGGCTATGAGGTTGTAGGCGTGCCACATGTCCTCCGCCTCCTCCGTCTTCATCTGCACGAAGCCATCGCCGTCCTTGCTGCTTATCTGACGACGAAGCACCTTCATGCTCCCTCCGGACCAAACGCCAAAATGTCTCCGCAGCACCCGGCTCAAGTCCTGCCTGTGGTCGGGCCTGAAAGAACTGCTGTACTGCTAACCAATGATGGCAGATCTCGCACACCTTCCCAGCACCCTCGCCGTACTCTTGGTCTGTCTACTAAAGGGTACTGTTGAGTGACAGGCTGACTGTTCGAGCTGGCGGGAAAACAGAGTGGGTGTGCAGTCCGTCGTGGAGCGAGGTGTACTTGCTTGCTTGACAAGAACAAGAACAGAGAAGGGCAAACTTGTGGAGGTGGGGGGGGGGAGGGGGGAAGGGGTCGAAAATAACGATCATGCGGACTCCCTCGACTGCACGCTGCTGTGTGTGTGCTGTGCTGTGTGCACTTCCGCTTCGACTTAGGCTGCTCGCATCCTGCTCGTCCTGGTGCGCTCGAAGCCATGCGTGACCTCAGGAATCGGCTTCGTGCCGCGGTGGTGTTTTGTGCCGCAGGTGAGCCGGGGTGCTACTTTGCTGCTGACACATTTGGCGGATGCCGTCCGTCGTGCATGCAGCTCGTCTCGTCGTGAGAAACAGACAACACAGCAGGGTCAAGTTGTTGGGGCAGGCCATGGTTGCCTCTCTGCCCATGCTCTGTACCAGCTCTACTTCCCAGGCAGTGCGTTCACATTTGCGGTCTATGACCGGGGCGCTTTCGGATGAGGCTAATAATCTACTGCTGTAGCCGACGACAATCAATCTGGTAATGTTCAACTGGGCTGCTGTGATGATGTAGTCTACAAGTAGAGGGCGTGCTGCGCAGGCCGCACACACTCACACTCGACTTGGGCGCGTGGCGTAACAGGCACCAAAGGGTGATGATGCTTCGTTGGAGGAGAAAGGTTATCTACTCCTTGCCTAAGCTGCGGGCTTCTTGATTCTTCGGTTGTTTGGATGGAGCCGTCTTGTCACTTTGGTATCTTGAAGTACTTCATGTGTCTGCCAACCTGCCAACAGCTCCAGAGAGGGTGCTGTAAAAGGTTTCAATCCACTTCCTGAAAAGACTTCACCACATCCCTTTCGACTGAGGTTATATCTCGAATGGGTAGTCTTTCTGTGAGGTTATGTTTACTTTCTAACAAAATGACTTCCAGTTACAGCGGTTCAGCTCTATTGCTGTACGGCGGTGGCACACATGCGGGTTCGGATGTATTTGCAGATCCAAGGTGCTAGTTCTACGGTTGGCCTGAGGGTCGCAGTCGTCGATCGGTTTGATGTATGTACTAGTGGTGTGTCGCATGTCGCTGAACTGGATGCCATATTTCGCATTTCCTTCGCGCATTTCGATCAAGGTGCATCTATCTCTGGCGAGGTGGATCAGTGGGCACAGCTGTTGTATTTGTATCCTGTACCCTGCCTATTCGTCCGATCTGTCTGTCTCTCTTGTTTTCCTCGTCGTTCAGCACACCTGACCGTTCCACATTTGCCGCCTATCGTGCTGCGCGGCTCAAACAGGACCGGTGGCGTCGTTCTTGCCGTTGTTTTCACCTGCGAGGGCGAGGGCAGGACTTGTTGGAGCTCCCTGCTCACGAGGTGAAGACAAAGTGTACTATTTTGTAGCTTTAGTCTTGCTGTGTACAACTTACCACTCGCGTTCTCCAAACTCCTCACTCACTAAATAGGCGTTGCCCTAAAACGTTGTCTGTTTCTGTCGCTATTGGTCCGTGCCGTGTGAGATCTGGTGGCGGTTGTGGTTTCTTCTGTGTGAAATTCTTCTCAGTCGTCCGCGAGCGTTGTTTCACGAAATTGAACCGTGTTTTTCCATAATTACTCTCACATTCCCTCCTGTTCCGTGATTAGCCGTTGGCATCCCCTACTGCTTTTACAACATACTTCTATCCCAGAGGCCTTTAACTCTCGACGCAGAACCCCACCGCCAAAATGTGCGCGGTCATGCTGGTACTGCCTGTACCTGGCATGTGACAACTGCTCCGTTGTTGATGTTGTGTTGCAGGCGTGGAGCCTCGACGGAGCCCCTCCCGAGCACCCGTAGGCTCCACGCAACTCGAAGCTACTGCCGAAAGGCCTGAAGGACATGCACTGCAAGAGGGCCAAGAGGAAAAAGCCTCCTCTTCGGCCAGTGTCGACACACCACCAGCAGCTGCCCCGGCTAGTCCGGTAGTCGACAGAAGTAGTGCGGAGGGCGGGGAAGAGAAGGCCGGGCTAGCGCAGAACGTGGCGGCGGTAGCGAAAGAGACGGACGCAACGGCTAGCGTGGGGCAGAGTGCAGAGGAGGAGGAGGTAATGGCGGAGCTGTTGGCGCACCAGCCGGGGGGCCAGGACGAGGCGCAGGAGGTGGACGCCGCACTTAAACCTTCGGTGAGCTGCGCTCTCTCCCAGTTTTTGGGTGCACGTGCTTTTTGCTGTATGAGAGAAAATCTCGCAGCAGTTGTGCAACAGTTGAAGACTCACTTGGAGGAAGTTAGCAGAGTTCAAGCGTGGCGAGATATTTTGGGTCTGGTCGTGATGGTTACACTGTCGGGGGATACGCTAGTTGCCAACAGCCTTTGCGGCGGAAAGGACGGCGGGAAGACGAGGGACGTGATTGCGTTTTAGTGTATGCCGTGTCGATCATGCCCTCCGTGAATTGCGTTGCGTGTGGTGAGGCACTAGGACTCACTCTCGAACGTTTCCTTTCCCACCATTCGCCTTGCTGGGTCGTGCCCTGGCTTCTCACTCTCGTTTCTCAGAAGCGCGTGACGAAGCGGCTAAAGAAGTACTTCCCCAAGGACTTCCAAGACACGACATGGACGGTGGCAATACAGTGGAACCACTCCAAGTACGAGGTCAAGACTACCAAGGTCAGCCGTGAGCCCTTTCGGGGCCGGTCGCAATTGTTTTGCAATTTTTACGGATTGACGCGAATCGCTCGCTGGCTGTCAACGTTCTGAGCGGCAGGGCGGCGCTGAGGTTTTCGGCTCGGCTACGTGTTTGTACAGCATTTTTTTTTGTGTAGTCCTTGGTTTAGCCGTGCTTCTGTACCGTAGGCAGCAGAGATCATTCCCGAAATGTGGTATGATTCTTCTACATGGCGCCGGACGCGATGTTTTGTAAGGCCGTGACGAGTGTTGACAGAGGTTGGAAAGTGTCGCTATTTGTAAGCTCCGCTCTGTGCGGTTTGTCCGTCTGGCCTGCCGCAGGTCGCTCTCAAGGCTGACGGCGAAGTGGTCTGGCTCGATAAAGGGAAGGGGTCCTGGATCCTCCGCACAAAGAGCCGCGACATCTCCATCTACCGCAACTTCTTCCTCAACTGGGCCGGCATGCGGATTTTCTCGGCCAAGTTATTGAACAACACCTGCGACATGTACCTGTCGGGTGTCATCAAGGGCTGGCAGCCGTTCCTGCCGCTTTCGAAGATGGGAACGTGGCAGGCTGTCCGGAGGTGTGTGTTGTATGTATACGTGAGGGCAGGATAGAGGGATCGTGAGCGAAGGAATCGTCCCAACCCTCAAGTACTTGCGTCTTGCGTAGATTGCATAGACTTGTCCGAATCCTGTGTTACAGCACTACTGCGTTTGGCAACGCGTGACACTTGCGAGTGCGTCCGAGTGTCCCGACTTGGTGCACGACTTTCCAGAAATAATTTTGCGCGTTTCGGTTGTTGCACCACCTGGTCGATCTGGTCCACATCTCGCGTCCGCGAATTATTTCTCTCTCTTGTCTCTCTGCGCACCTACACCGTACTTTGCTGCCCATGTACGCACATCATGTTTACTCGTTTGTTCGATGCGAACGTCACCTTTTAGTTTTTGTGGGGAGGCGATCACAGCTTGATGAGCGTTACCTTGGCAGACTTCGCATTGATTTCGAGAAGGTTTACCCCCATAGATTGCAAAACCGCAACTCGTATTCCGTAGTAATTGCTGACCCCCCCGTCCCTCCTTTTCGCGGAGTGCATAATCCTCGACCCTGCTGGCTGAAACGCCAGCAACACCGTTTTTGGCGTCGTCGCCAACTGTTAATTGTTCACCACACGCCCGGGAGTTCTCCGCGGACGTTTTTCGTGCACATCGCTCTGCAGCTTATTCCTATGTAACGACATGCCGGTGCACATTTTGTTTTTGCGAACGCGCGTGCCTTGTCCCATCGTTTGGTACTCCACCAGAGGGATCACGCTGGACGAGAACACGCCGCGGCCACCCTGGGAGTCGAGGGAGGTTGTCAAGGAGGTCACCATGCCGGATGGGCGCAAAAGAAAGAACACACCAATTGAAATAGACGTAGATTTAGACTAGAGATGCGGTTTTCTATCGGAATGGACGGAGAGCCACACAAGGCGGTGATGTCTGTTGGACGTAAATGAGTTTCCTCCGTTCAAGCGCGCCCAACGCGATGCTTGTGGGCGGTGTCACAGAATGAGTCTGCGATGCAGCATCCATGCTTGGCGGCGATTTGTCATCTGCTGCAAGGTCTTATTTGTAGTATTCGGCGGTAAATGTTGACAGGGCTACACCCGACAGGGCGTTGGTTTGTTTGGAAGCTGCTACTGTAGTGTTCGAGTGGAACACCCATATTTTCCCGCCAGAGTAGAGCCCGGTAGGCTTGTACGTGTCGTTGATCCAAGGCGTAGATAACATTGTATTAGGTTCATCAGGCACTGGCTGCTCCTGTGTTGTTTCCACCCACACCCATCTATTATGCTGCTTGAGAGTCTTGACTTGCTTCAGCGGAAAATCTTGATTCTGACTACCGAACGCTCGTCCTCAATTGTCGAGGTCGCGCAGACGGGAATAAAGCAACCGTTGTCCGCCCATCAATATCAACATGGTGGCGTGTGCGTTGTGTTTGGTCGTGAGTCCCGTTGCCTTGCCTGCCGGTCTGGAACCCGCTTTGTTGCACGCCGTTGACACACGGAGAAATGTCGAAAGGACTCCAAAGCCTCCTCTAGATCTACTGCTGTGCCAAACCACTGCTGTACCTCCGATCAACCCCTATCAATATTTTCGGTCGGCAAGAGATTTGTCGAGAGTATGTAGGTTCTAGAGGACTAGGAAAGACCCCCATCAGTTTGCTGTCAGACAAGAAATCATGCTGTAACTCAGGATGGAATGAACTATAATTTGCGGGGGAAGTCTTGTTTCTTGGCCACAAGTTACGTGACAGCCAGAGAAAGATAAGTACCATAGCCTAAGGCATCAGGAAGGTGTCGATCCACCCTGTTCGGTATCCGTCCTTGGAGAAGGTGATGGGAAACGCCTCTTCCGGCAGGCGGTTGCTGTCTAAGCTCTTGTACCTGCTGTAAATGTACGATGGGCCGCCGGTTCGCTGAAACCGTTGTTGTCGGTCCACGAAACGAAGAACAGGACAGAACAGAACAGAACAAAACAGCACCCGTCACACCAGTACGAGGATGTTACTGTACAGGGAAAGCGGACCGGGGAGGATGGCGACCAGCAAAGTCCAACACTTGAAAACTTCGAAAGTTCTTGACGACTAACAATATTTGTTGCTCCAAAGCAAACCTTCACGTTGCACACAGCTATTAATAGAGGCGATAGCTATGGTACGGTGTGATCATTTCTCTCTTGAGTATTTTCTCTCCATCCATGTCTCGCTCTGCGAATTTCCTCTGCCTACTGAGTACCACTCCAGTGCACAACACACCAAGGGAAGCCACTGCTGTCACGGTCACCTGAAGCGAGTGTCCGTCGATGAATCTCGCATCTCCTCTGAGGAAGTGTACCACCAGGGCACGACGGTGGCGCTGCGCAGAAACGTTGGGGGCGCTTCCGTGCCAGCAGTCCTGTGCGTGCACAACACACTCTCCGGGCTTTACGGCGACCGCCTCAAACTCAACCCGGCGCCCGAGGCTTAGAGCAGCCGCCTCTGCCGGTGCTCGGTAGTTGGATGCATCGGCTCCGTGAAAAGAAGGCAGGGAGGACCGGCTTGTGGAGGAGTCGGCCGCCGACCCCTCCGGCGGTGGGAGCGGTGTGGTCATTGTGGCATACTCGATCGTTCCTGCAGGCATAATGCACCCAGGTGTTCGCCAAGAAGTTGGCGGGTTGCTTGGACTGACGAATGAACACCACTCAGTCAACTAGCCGGATTGTTCACGGACGGCACATGAAGGGGGGGTATCCAGTGTACACGTTTGCCCAAGATGAGGCAGCCCGTGCTGATAGTTCGATTATTCTTTGATTTACGCTGCTTCAAGCTGAACTCGGCATCACGCCCGGAGAAACAACGCGTCTGGAACATGCACCGATCATCCAGACTTTATCCACGCTCACCTACCTCCCGATCGCAGTCATCCAACGCAATCCACATCGTCACAGAGTTGTTCGCTCTCTGGGCGCCAAAAAGTTGCACATGCATTGCATGCAGGCGTAAGTGGGGACGGCAAATGAGAATGGGCAGTTGCAGGAAATTGAAGGCCTGCCGAACAGTTACAGACAATAGCAATAGTCAATACACATTTTTCGTGGCGCTACCGCCGACAGCGGTTGATTGTTGAGACTGGGTGCTAAGTTATCCCAGGATCGGTAAATGAAGGAAATGAGTCATGTATTTTTAGAAGTCGATCACGCGTACGTGCAAGCGCTCACCCTTCAGGCGAGTGAGTGGAGCACACCGGCGTGTGCTCTCCCGGGCGGGGGCGTACTTGGACCCCAACCGCGTACATACCGACCCCAACCATACTTCCCATACGCGTGTCCCCCACAGAGGGTGCACAGATAGGATATATATCCAAGTACCACAAACGACAGACGACTACGTATCGAACCCCAGGCTCAGTGATTATATACCCCTCATGGCTCCTGACGAGGTAGCTAAACTTGTACCGTACGCTAGACGATGTATTCCACGTTGGTTCGCCGCGGGTAATTTGACACCTAAACGACGAGTAAGGTTGCCCATCATCATACTGTAGAACCATTTCATCTCAAGGAGACTGCATCGTTTGGGAACTACAGCATATCAACGGCCACCCACCGGAGTAAATTGCCTGCTGATGTACGCCGAATCTTGATGGTAGCCAACAGGGCCAGACCCCGGGGGTTTCCACACCACATCGTCCTGGGCAATTCGAGCCGAGTCCCACCCTGCCAGCGAAGCAGCGAGCCTTGCGAGGTGCTCGCTTAGCACCACTGAGGCCACCGTGCGATCTGCCTTCCACGCGTTGACGATCTGAACAAATCATGACATTACGGAGAGGTCTTACAGCAGTACATTGGGAGATATGCGTACCAGGCAGACTGAGCCGTAAACATCATGTGTCGAGATACCACACCATCCCGCCGCCCTACATACCTCGCGCGGTGCGTCGTCCCTCGATATCCCTTCCCGCCAGTGCATCTCGTCGGGATAAACCCCGGTGTCGAATTCGCCTCGGAAGAGGAGAGGTAGTCGTACCCGAAGTCTTGCTACCGTGACGTCATCGAGGACACGCAACCCTTTCACATATGTATATCCTCGCTCGGCCAAGCTCTGTGAAGCTGCGCCGTCGACGACGACAGAAAAAGTACGCCGTTGTTGGAGCACCACAGGCCGGAACCTTGACATCATTCTTGACCTTGCAGTGTGCAAGAGGTTGATGGCGGTGAGGCTGTGAGGCGGTGAGGCGATGGGGCGGTGAGGACCAGGAAACCGGCTAACTCTGCTCTCTGCTCTGCTGCTCTCTGCGCTCTGCTCTCTTCTCTCTTCTCTCTGCTATTCTCTCCCTCCCGGGACTGTCAGGTTTTCCAATCGCGGAGGCGTTCTGTAGACTAATCTGAAACCGATGACAGTCCCGCTCGATCAGCCCAGCCTGGAGCCTCTTGGATGTATGCAACGAGACACGAAACCACTGACCAGAGAGCTCCAAAGCTTTCCACTGGCAGCAACAGTGAGTAGTGCATGAAGGAACATGGAAGACGATTCTTGGCGAGTGCAGCTCGTGCGAGCTGTCCGAGACGGCAACGTAGAATTCATTGAGGGCACCGCCGCCGAACACCCCAATTCCATCCATGAGACATTGTCAGGCTCGTCGTCTAGCACCGTCCCACCGGAGGCAGGCAGCACCGGGGTGGAATGCTCGAGCGCAATGACTGATGGCATGTTTGAGTGGGAATTCCTCAAATGGTAGGTTCGCGTCCGCGTCGACCCTTCTCCTACCAAATGTTGGTCGTTTTGTCTGCACTCGAGCACGTACCACAGCAGCAGTATCTTATGGATACAGCAGTAGATCCGTAGACACGAGAGACTACAGTACCATGGTACGCGCCGTGTCATACTCCTATGTGGTTGAATGCCATCGTACGGGGTCATCATTATCCGTCAAAAACAATAAGCAGATCGTACTCTTCACTCAAGGTGTAGGCCCATGCACCAATGTCAATCAATGTCCCCACGCAACCCACATCACAGCGGTAGCTCCGCGGCGTGCGGTCATTCCTCCGTCGGTAACAGGGTCAACACAGCGAAGTCGTGCAGTCTGTGCGCCTCTGGCTGTGCGAAACTCAAAATATACCAAATGCTGTTCTGCTTTTTTTGACTACAAGTATTAACCATCGACCGCGATGACCGGCTGACCAATAGAAAGACTTCAATGCAAGGTAAAAAACAAATGCGAAACGCCGTGTTGTGTGTTTTCTAGACTACTGTACAGCAGTACTACAGATGTAGTACAGTACAAGTTCGTTGTCTCTTGGCGTGAGTCATAAAAGCAAACCCAGTGTCCTGGACGGGCCATTCCTTACGCCATGTCCCAGGTATGAATTCGGGGAGGCAACCTGTCTGTATGTCGCTGCATCGTTTTGTCAGGTGGGTGCTCTATTGGCTATGTTTGGAGTTAATTGTGTGATTTTCGCGTGTTCCTGTTGATGAAGTATGTTTTGGACTTGATTCGATGGTGCGAGTGCATGCGCGCCAACATCCAAACCAGCCAAAGCCACGACCAAAACTAAGTCCGATATTCTATGTCAAACTATACCAAATATTGTACAGGAGTAGTCCATTAGTTCCACAGTAGTAGTAGCTAATCGTTTCGTGGGGCCTCTATTCTTGAAGGCCAACAGGTAGAATACAGCTAACTACAATGTTTGACAGCGTGCTGAAAGACACACCCAGACCAATACCCCGCTGCACACCAATCGCAGAAGGAAGGTGTTGGACAGGATCAAGTACATTTATTTGTGTGGTGTTCCTCCAATTTGACCCCAGCTAATGATGCGTCCTATCATGCCGGAAGATGTAAAATGATGCCAAGATACTAGATGGGATGACTACACACACGAATCGTAATACACCCGGCACCAGCTCGATGTCGTTCGCTGGCTTTTGGAGAACGGTGTTGATCGAGACAAGCCTTGCTACTACGGTCAGAAGCCGATAGACGTTGTCGGGCAGTGCCGTCTTGATGCGGAGGCCGCTTCGGCCATTCGCCAGGCGCTTTGCGAAGAGCTTAGACGTGAGTTGTGCTGCGGTATGTATAGCAAGTCTATTTTACCCATCGCCAGATGTTCGAGGCCTCCGCAAAGTTTACTAACAGCTCTGCAACCGCGTTTACCAATGAATTTACATGTTCAACGAAACCACCAAGAGCAGCATTTTGGTTGCTGCAGGCTGTGCATACTGTATTTGAGGCCAATACACGTGTTTGCTTCCTGCCATGAGTGGTGGTCGAAGTTCTAGTAGTGCAGTGCCCCACGATTGCCAACCACAACCCCTCCTGATTTGAGCACCCCTCTTTCCTTCAGGACCACGTGCACCGGTGCCTCCCTCGTGCGTCGCGAAAATCGGATATGAGGAGACCGTGAGGAAAGTTTACGAAACTATCCAAGTAAAAGGTCAGAAGCGCTCTCTGGTATATGGTATGTGCAGACTCTTGAAAAAGTCCCCTGGGCGCACTTGCCTTGTCGGGAAATAAGAAGGCGACGTGCCCGCAATTTTGTGTAGCATGTCCCTTGCCTTTCTGTTTGGCAGCTCTTGTGCCATACGGGTTTCCTACTAACGTCCTTCGCGACACTGTTGCTGCTGTGCTTGATCTAGGTGCAACAAAGCGGGTACCAAAACGAGTGACTGAAACGGTAGCCTCTTGCAAAGCCACCGTGTCTTGGCCGACGTACTGGCTCTCGGACATCACCAGGTGACGCACTTGATTAATACACTACATTCAGCAGTGATGCTTGCTTTGTCGTGATGTGAATCGAAACAAAACGTTAGCATGTCGAAACCTCGGCGCGTGAATTTCTGAACATCCGATTACTAATATTGTTCGGCTGGGTATCTTTAGCCCCACCGTGCACGATGCTTTCGTACTAGCGAGTCTTTCCGAAGCTGATCCATGCCTCGTGCCCTAGACTATACGCCATACTGTGGCACTCCTCTTCCCCTTCGGAATTCTGCCTTGCGGCAGCTCAAGAGACGGAAAGCTTGGCGGAGGTGTAACCTACGAGCTGCAATACCGCAGCAGGACGGGACAGGACTGGGTTGTGGTGGCGACCAAGACATCGAACAAAATCCTTACGGGCCTGTTTCCTGGTCAAACGTACGGTTTCAGAGTGCGGGCGCTTAACTCTGCAGGATGGGGAGACTTCTCGGAAACAACCGAGCTCGTGATGCCGAGCGAGCGGAAGAGAGACTGCAGTTCCAACGACCTGCCGTCGGAAACAACGTATTGAAAATAATTTTACAAGCTCTATGTGTGCACGATAAAACTCCAAACAAGCACCTCTGGTAAATCTTCAGTAGAGGTGCTGATATCACGTTTTTACTTGTTCTTCGTCTAGGAAAACGTAAAATACTTGGCCCGTTTGTTTGTTTGTACTGCCCCTTCGTGAACATTTTCCAGGAGAAACACGCCAAATGCGGTATGTCCTCTTGCTTGTTGTCCTTGAGACGAACCAGGCAAGAAAAAATATTGAAGAAGTCTACCCAAGTTGATTTTTAAGGAAAATATGAGAAGAGCAGGTTAGTTTTTTGCCGAGCCTCAGCAGAAACCGCTGATGCCTTCGTCTCCCGAAAATCGTCTGGGCTGCAATTCAAGCAGCGTTCTCTCAATGGATTATCTTCCATCAATAGTACCGGTTGGTTACCCGATGCAATCATGTGTTTGGATCTGAAAATAGTACGAAATGGCGGCTGTCTATTCGACCTCAGTGCCATATCTTCCTCCACAGAATACCGGGAGTCCACGACCGCCCAGACGCCAGGATGACACCGGTCAGTGGACCCAAAATAATGCTCCTCAGTCTCCTGCATTTGATTTCTAACAACTCCGATGTTCAGTAGCAAGATCTGGTCTTGGTCTCATTTCGTAAGAACGTTTTTCAAGCGCGGCTGCTCAGCCATCCCCTCCGAAGAAGTAGCTCGCACTTCTAGATCCAGAGCTCTATGCCGGCGACCATGGGATTTCTACTGTCCTCTTCAGCCCCCCCTGATGGCTGCAAAGGCGTATCTATAACACTTTTCAGCCTTTTCTACAAGCAACAGCAGGAGGAAGGTGGGGCACGAAAATAACAATGAAAAAAGAACGCCCCGGTGTTTACCCCCTCCTGTGTGACCCTGGACGGTTGTAGTTCTACAAATACAAATGCACATTGAAAAGTGTAGTTTCTACTCTACATACACTAAAAACGTGTAGTACACGTCTCACCACGAAAATGGGGGGACTGTCGGCATGATAAATAGGCCGAAAACAACAACACCAACAACAACAATCACGCACGCAACAATTTCTTTTGTTGTGTCCAACATCATCGATGGACCTTCATCTATTTGGAAACTTATAGTGAAGCTTTACCATATCACATGCCACAGGGTCTGTACCAGAATTGCAAGCCGTTTTTACGCGGCCGTGGTCGACAAAAGGGATGCCACCCGTCAATCGGATTCTTGCCATGGGGAATGTAAACGTTTGCACCTGTCAGGGGGGGAGGGGCGACAAGAAGAAATCCATGTTTAGACAGAAGCCTGACGGATCGAAGGAAGAGCAGGTTACGGTTTTTGCCCTACCTCGTTGATTAGAAATATTTCACGGCGTTGCGATCAAAACTTTGCTGAACTTTTGCAAACACAACATAAGCCACTTGCAGAGTCTGCTCTTCTTGCAGAAAGAGATGCTGGGAAGCGAGGTCACACCGAGGTTTCATGGGTTTGATCTCTGTCGGATATATACGGCAGCAGACTAGAGACCCCGTATGGAATCGTATCAAATTGTGGTATAGTATTTGGTTTGCTTCACCGGCCCCGGTGTCGGGGTAGCGGTTCTGGCATTGTCATAAACGACGGATTGATCGATCCGAGACCAACGTCGCAAGGTGCCATCAAAACACCACCAGCTCACCGTGATGTCGTTGGCTTGCAAGTGAAGACCCAGCACCAATTCGGAATTCACTCTGTCGACTCCGTTGCCACCGCTCGGGTCCATTAGCGTAGCGATGCGATTCATCATAACCTGGATGGCGCGGAGGTAGAGTCAAGCGCACCCAGGCACGAAGGCGAGGACCGCAAAATGTTAACTAGAGCCCGATTTCGTCGGAGTACAATGCTCTTCCCGCGGCGTGTACAACGGCAGTCGGACGGAGCGTACGAAAACCAATGTTGTTGTGTACACCCGCCGTGTTACTCGCTATTCGTTCAAAGCTGGCGTTTGGTGCATACATACACGTTTCACGCGATTTTGTCCAACATGTTGTGAGCAAGGTGACGATGCTTTTCGTGGACCATTCACATAGGCTATAGAATAGCGTACCGTTGGCAGCAGTCAAACACGAGCGCAGGAGAGTTGGGGTAGACCCCCAGCAAACAGTGTATCTCACCCTCATGGCCGTGACAGATCCGTACGCGAACCGGTCGTTTGTGCGCGTCCCTGATTTGCCTTCGGTATCAAAGCTTGGGACGAATACCGTACGCTCAGGTAGAGGAAACTCCCGCCTATTTAAAGAAACAAGATACGTATAATCGGGAAATGGGCATCGAGCTCTGCCGTCTAGCGTTCTTGCCGGTGAGTAGTAAATGCCAAAAAATTCTCTCTCTCTCTCTTGCCCTTTGCACAGGCAAACACCCGTATGTTCCACGGCAACATTATTCTCTTTGTTCACCATCGCGTACGATCGTCGCCATCAGCTACTCACGTAACCTGAGGTTTTTGTCTCCTTCGATCGACTGACCAGTTCAGACCCCGACCCACACAGACGAACAAGCCTTTCATTCAAACGCCAATGGGTTCCAGCAGCTCCCATGGAACATCCTCTCGTTTCCTAACCAACGGCGGTGGTACACAAGACTATCGAGACCTCCGTTTGAATCTCCCGTACACATTCGATTCCTTCCAGTTACTCAAAAGATAATTCACTCTCTGCATTATCCAATCCACAACACAACGATCGAGCTCCTGCCATACATTTGTCGTTGACATCGCCTGTGCCTATGTCTCGCCTGGGAAGGTCGATGTCCACATGAAACCAAACATCTGGGCGTAACAGCACGACTGCATCGTATTCGATGCTTCTCTCCCGTGAGAATTGCGCCATCACTCCCCATACCCCTGACATTGACCAGAGGGCACGAAATACGTTCCTGAAACCACATTGGGGACAGAGGCGTCAAGAATAGATAGGCTATCCTTTCTCCAAAGAATCATGGTCTAGATGGTGATCCTTGGAGCCACCATCGGAAATCATTGCACCAACAACATTTATTTTCCGATCCGTGAAGAAATGGATCAAACTTAAAGCACTGCCCTTCCAAATAGGAAACTTTGCGGCCCCGACACAAAGCGATCATAGAGACGATATCATGAGTCTATTCGAATGCCACTCCCTTTGATGAGTCTACGAACGGTTTTTCCGAAAGCATCAACAGCAAGCTATTCCCAACGACGTTTACCTGATCACTTCCGGAACCATCTTTGGCGGGTATACCCAATGGTAATGCGTCAGTGAAATAGGGTCTGGCCAGACCAGATCAAAGTCATCTTGGTTTGTCACCATGCTCCTGTTTGTGGACAGTACAAGGGCAGTGCACGGGGGGGGGGTACTGCAGGTAGTGCGATGGAGAAATCCTGAGTTTAAACAGATCCCATCGGGCGGTGGTTTCAAACTTGGAGATCGGATCAGAACCATGGTTCTGAGTCCCGCCGGGAGGTTTGTACCACGTTACGTTTGACGCCGGGACCCGGTGAGCTCCCGCGACGGTAGTGTACAGTCATAGTGTAGTTCTTGGGAGCATTCAGGGAACGATGTCCGCAGTAAATTAGCCGAAGCCCAAACACACTCTTTTTTCGGCTTCCATTCGTTTGTGGAGGTTCCTTTCCCGGCTGAGGACTTGCCTACTCCACGGAAAGTCTCCGAACAGAACGCACGGCGTGAGAACCGCGAGTAATACAGGGTGCAAGAGTTCGTGCGTGCTCTGCTGGTTTGCCAAGAAACGTTCTTGTGTGCCCCCACGCGAGCTCGTGGTTCGAGGTATTGGACGCGCCGTGGCGAAAAGAAATCGTTAGCGATCTACACCACATTGATTGGTTCACTACTTAATGTTCGGAGCAGATCGGGGGGAACTAATGTAAACGAATGCCGTAGTCGGTAGACAATTGACCCCGCATTCCTTCAATGCCGGGACGGGGCGATATGCCGGGTTTTCAGCGGCCCAGCGAACGTTTCACAAAAGGGTGAACCAGCAGCTGGTCACTATCTTTGCGTTTGCCGTGTTTAACCAGACATGCTATGGGTGCCTCGAATTCCCAGCAAACACCATATTTCGCATTTGGCATGCACGACTATACTCCAAGTACCGCAAGGGAGTTCGATCTTTGCGCGCTCATAAAAAGCATGCGCGCACACACCGCGAACACGCGTTGCTTCGTGTGTGATACACTTGGAGTAAGGAAGTCTGCCTCTTTTATAGCTATCAAGGTGGAAAAGTTCGAAGACGGAGACTACAACATACTTCATCTGATTTTTTGGGTCTCCCACACTTTCTACAGGGTTCCCAAACGACCCATGGGACTCCCATGGGTCACCCATGAGTGACACGTGGGTGACCTATGGGCCGCCCATTGGCACCCCGATAGGCCCATA